AATGTTTTAAGTTAAAACCTATTTTAAATTTCTTTAAATATTTTTCTAATATAATATATAAATTCAAAACATTAATAGAAAGTGAAAATTATGATGAAATAATATTTTATTTAAAATATATAATAATTTTTTAAGTATTTATATATAGAAATGTCAAAATTATCAATATAAATATTTTTAAAATATTGAATTATAAAAAAACGAAAATAATATTTGTTCCTCATTGTTTCTCTACAATTTTGAGTAGGAACATTTTTGAACTGTTGTTCCTTTTTATTTGAGGAATGAATAGGAATAGTATAAGATCCCACATATCTGAAAATTGAAAAAACATTATGCGTAAATGGTAGCAAAAATTGAGGAACAATGAGGAACACCACATTCCTCTTCATTCTATTTCTAAAAAGTGGTCACCAATTGTTAATCTTTCACTTCTGGAGGTCTAACGTCTCTTCAAATTTTAAATGGTGCATCGAGAGCATGTTTTTATGTTATGTAAAATTATACATGTATTTATTAATTATGTCATATTGTCATGTATCAATCTTTTTACCCAAAATCAAGCCGATCCTTTCACAAATGTGAAATCCGATTGCATAACTCCAAATGAGCAATAGTTGTTGTATATTAGCCGACTTTGAGGTTCATCTAAGTGGGAATCAGAAGTGAGTTTGTGAGTGAAATGGTTTTGCAAGTGCCAACATTGTCAATTAATAATGTAGCTTTCTTAAAAATATAAAATTTTGTTGTTTAAGTGAAGTTTTGGGTTGGATGCTTACAAATCTTCGACGTATTTAGAAGCGATCATGATGGTGGTGATGAGGAGACGATGTACATTGGTGATGGTGAGACTGATTCTAAAACCGGGATTGGTTTGACAAAACCAATTAATGTAGACATAAGCCACCATGTAATAAATCCGAAACAAAACCGAACCCGAACCCGAACCCGACAAAGCCCGAACAAAACCCGAACCCGTCCGAAGATATATATACCCGAATGGGCTTTATAGGTTTAAACCCAAAAACCCGAAAAGCCAGGTCCGAGCCCGAACGCCCAGGACTAGTACATTCCATCTTGACCATATATTATACATCTCATTATCTTATCTAATGAATCATTTCTTATCTTTTTATACTAATTTTTGGGATAATCTAATCACATTACTATTCCTACGTTGGTATTGTATAATTAAAATACAGTCAACTAGGTTTAAATCCGCGTTACACCGCGAGTGAATATTTGTATTTTAAAATTTTGATATTAATGAAAATATTTGTATTTTAAAATTTTGATATTAATAAAAATTATATGATATGATGACTCTTTATTATAAAAATATATTTTTATGGTTGTAATATAGAATTTAGTTAATTTACACGAAATAGTTGCGGTTGCACGTGCAAAATTTTGCGAAAGCATGAGGTTGGTTCCTAGCCTCATCAAATGTTTTGAATGATTAATTTAGAGGTTGAGAATTAAGTAAGTATATAGAACTTGATGATGTATTTTTTTTTTTGTCCTTTACATCATTTTTAGGCAGGTTTGAATATTAGTTTTAACCTGCGGCAAACCGCTAGAAATTTTTTTAAGCAATGTTATAATTTGTGAGTGAAATGGTTTTGCAAGTACCAACATTGTCAATTAATAATGTACATTCCATCTTGACCATATATTATATATCTCATTATCTTATCTAATGAATCATTTCTTATTTTTTTATACTAATTTTTGGATAATCTAATCACGTTTTACAATCTTTAACGATTTTGGTATATACGGTAAATTTTCACTTCAATTAGGTTACAATTTGATCGAAAATTAAAAATTTTGTTTTTTAAAACGGATCTATTATCCTTACCGAACTAAACCGAACTTGTCACCATTTCTTCTAAAAATTCCTTTCACTTCTTATGCTGAAACTAAAATCATAACCGGACTGAATTAACGAAATTCCGGTTCGGTTCGGTATAATTTCCCACATCGTAGTCTCTTTTAGCCTTATCCCGTTAAACCATGTTAAATAAACTAAAAGACAAAAACACCCTCACAGGTCAGATCAACAGTACTCTTTACAACTCTTCAACTTCTCTCTTTCTTTCTTACCATTTCTCATTTCCATCAGCCATCCTCACCGGTAAGTCAAAATCTAAATTTTGGTTCAAAGTTTCGATTTTTATTTCCATAAATCATCTCTAGCTGCTTGATTTAGTTAAAGACCAAATCTTTGACAAGTTTATCTTTATACAAACATCAGGATTTTGTGACTGGGGAGGTTTCAAAATGAGTTTGTGTTCTAAAGAAGCTGATTTGGTAGTAATAGATGAAGAAGATGAATCAGGAACTGTGTGTTTACATGCGTATTCAGATTTAACTTATGTGTCACCACTTGTTTTCTTGTATCTTCTCAAAGAATGTTATAAACATGGTAAGTTTTAGTCCTTTAGCTTGCTTTTTGAAAGTTCCCCAATTGTGTGGATTTGAAGTGAATTTAATGGGTGTTGCAGGAAGTTTGAAAGCAACTAAAAAGTTCCAAGCTTTACAGTATAGAGTTCATCAAGTTCTTGCTAATAAACCTCAGCCAGGACCTGCTACTTTCATTGTTCAGTGTCTTACTGTTCTTCCTATGTTTGGTGTGTATGGTGAAGGGTTTAGTCATTTGGTTATATCAGCTCTTCGTCGTTTCTTTAAATCGGTATCTGAACCAACAAGTGAAGATGATATGTCTTTGGCGAGAAAGCTAGCTGCTCAGTTCTTCCTTGATACTGTTGGAGGTTCTGTAGCTTATGATGAGAAGGTGATGTTGCATACTCTTAGAGTGTTTGATGTCGGGTTAACTAGCATCGATGAAGCCTTGTCTATGTCGGGAGTTTGGTGTGGACATGGGTTTGCTTGTGGAAGTGCGTTTCTGGAACAGTACATTTCGGATTTGATCAAGTCAAAATCTTTCATGACGGCTGTGTCTTTGTTAGAGCATTTCTCTTTTCGTTTCCCTGGAGAAACGTTTCTTCAACAAATGGTTGAGGATAAAGACTTTCAAGCTGCAGAGAAATGGGCTACCTTCATGGGAAGGCCTAGTTTATGCATTCTTGTCCAAGAATATGGTTCAAGGAATATGTTAAAGCAGGCGTATAATGTTATAAAGAAGAACTATCTCCAGCATGAGTTTCCGGAATTGTGTTACAAGTGTAGAGAAAGGTTACTGCAGCTGCTTTTGCTTTTGATTGTAAACATTAGAAAGCTTTATCTTTAGGTGTTTAACACTAAAAGATGGTAATCTTCCGATTAACTGGCAGTGCAATGAAGGATCTGGCAGAAAAAGCATTGTGGGATGTTGCTGAGAATATGGCAAAAGGTGATAGACAGCTTCTTGAGTATCTGGTAAGCACTTGTTATACATAAAACCAATGTCTAAAGACTTTATTCATTTCGGGAGATTTGTAACCCGAAGCGGTCATTTGTTCTGTATCATCATCTGTTTACTGAACTGTTGGTGGCTTTTTGAGTTTATAGGTATACTTGGCAATGGAAGCTGGGTACTTGGAGAAGGTTGATGAACTGTGTGGTCGATATTCACTTGCTGGTCTGCAAAAAGCACAAGGTATATATTGCTGCACAGAACCTTGCCTAGTGTTTTCAAAACAATAAGACGCTTACAATGGTATTCTTTATTTTGTTCAGAGGCTGAGGTTTCTTTTCTTGAAAAAAGCTTTTTGCGTCTCAACGATCTAGCTGTGGAAGATGTAGTCTGGGTTGATGACGTTAATGAGCTGCGAAAAGCAACTTCTTTTCTTGAAGGATGTAGAGTTGTGGGTATTGACTGTGAATGGAAACCCATTTATATCAAAGGCTGTAAACCGAGTAAGGTAAATTACTTGTAGTCTCTTCCCATTCATAACACGCTGTAACATTCTTATCGTTGTTGTTCTTGTTTACAGGTTTCAATCATGCAAATTGGAACTGATAGCAAAATTTTCATATTGGACTTGATAAAGCTTTACAATGATGCCTCTGAAATTCTGGACCACTGCCTTGGTCAAATTTTGCAATCGTATAGTATACTGAAGCTCGGTATGTGTGAAATCTATCTTCTTTTCTTCTTGCTTAACTTTATAAAGATATTCTTTTATTGAGTAACACCCTGATCATGAATTGTCTTTAGGTTACAATTTTCAATGTGACATCAAGCAGTTGGCCCTTTCATATGGAGATCTGGAATGTTTCAAGCACTATGACATGTTGTTAGACATTCAAAATGTTTTCAAAGAATCATGTGGTGGTCTAGCAGGACTAACGAAGGTGAGGTTTTCTCTTTGATATTACATCTGAGTTAGCATTTCGAACGGAATATCGTAGCATCATTGTTCATTTGACCTCTTTGTTATACTGTATCAGAAAATATTGGGAGTGTCTTTGAACAAAACAAGACGCAACAGTGACTGGGAACAAAGGCCTTTGACTCAGAATCAGGTATATGATCTTTTCAATTATCTGTTTAGCTATAACTGACTGACACGAGACAAAACTACCGGAGAATGTTTCCATATATAGTTGTTACCATGATTATGAGGGATAACAATTGTTATATAGTTAGAGTCTGCCTAAAACTTGACAGAGTTATGAGTGAGTGAGAAGGTGAATGCGTAGTTTTCGAATCTGATATTAAGTGTATTTTGCAGCTAGAGTATGCTGCTCTTGATGCTGCAGTGCTGATTCACATATTTCGTCATGTTCGCGATCATCCTCCACATGAAAGTAGTTTAGAGACAGTCCAGTGGAAATCTCACATTGTAAGTAGCTCTCATATATAATTGCTCATCTTTCAATCAGATAGTTTAAGCCCTTAGCTAGAAAATATGAGTTTGATGATATCTTAAAGAGTTAGTTTTGTTGGGATGATGATATGTGATTAAAATGGCCTTATGGTATGCTATTGTGCTGTGTGCATGGAATCTAACATGAGCATAAATTTTGTGCAGGTCTCCCACATGGATAATTCGAAGAAGCTGAAGAAGCCGAAGAAGTGGAAGAAGAAGCCTAAGTGCCATTCCACACAAACATTAGCTTCGACATTTTAACAAGCCATCAGAATTGAAAAGCAAGGAGAAAGTGTGTAAATATTCGTTCAAACTCTAAAATGAAAATACACATGTAACAGTAGCTCTTCTATGTAGGATTTGAATTCAAGAAAGAATTCAAGAAAATAAAAGAAACAAATCTTGTTTCAGAGTAACAAAAAAGAAATCTTAACGGGGAAAATATCATTTACATGCATAAAACTGTATGGTTTGTGAAAGTAGCTTCACAGAATCAACGGTACAAACCCGAGAACTAGTCCAATGAACAATCCAGGCAGCTTTCTCCCGGCCTTGCCAAAATAGAGTCCCTGCGCATAGTCTCCCACATTGAAGTTCCCTGTATATTCAAACTCAACTCAAGTTAACGTTACATGGTTATGTGGAGGATGAAAAGTTAGGGGTATTTCATGGTTAAAACCTCGTGTGAAAGATGAGCTGCAGCCACCACGGAGAGTGTTCCTGATATCTCTTGGGGTAGCCCGATTGTAAAACACGAAATCAGACATGACGCTGTTAATGCATGTAAGCACAAGTTCTGTCTCTGCAGCACAAGGACCGTTGCAGAACCTGTCTGTTTCCTCATGTGGAACCTTGAATTCACCTTCTGTGTTTAGTCTAAACGCCTCATTGCACCCTCTGTAGAGCTGCACAAATTGAAAAGCTATTGTCAAACAGTGGTCTCCTTTTTACAGGGTTTTCTGAGCTGACTGATCATATTTACCAGGTTATTGTTAAAACAGAACGCGGCTCTCTGAACCAAAATCCCTGCGCCTCCAATTACACCAGCAGCCTGCCCATTGACTGCATCAATAATCTCAAAGAGAATGAAAACCAAGTTAACTTAATGAGTGTCTTAGCAAAGAGAATCTGAGACTTGAAAGACCAAACTGTACCTGAATATCTTTGAGTATCAAAGTGAAACACTGCATAGAGTAGCCATAGTCTTAACACCTTCCAAACATTCATAGCAACAAAGAGAGAGACAGAGACAGAGACAGAGATTGATTGCTGTATCGATTTGATTTAGGAATGAGGTAGGGCACACGTTATTATAAAGTGGTAGTCTGTTCAAAAAAGTTGGTGGTCTAACTTGGAATAATGTTCAATGAAACATAAGCAGTTGACAAAAATGTGGACCAGAGACATGAATAAGTTTGGAAATGCAAGCCACCAAACTTATGTTCAACACAGAAAACAACAAAAAAAGAACAAATAGGAGAAAAGAGTGTTCAAGACTTCTAAGAGAAGGATGTGATATCATCAATCACAAATCTTTCAGCTTGAAATAGACAAATTGTACGGAAAATCTTCTCGGGTTTGGTTTGAAAATATGAAAAAGACTTGGTGTCTGTCCTTAGTTGATGTACTGAGAAAGCCATTTGAATCCCTCGCCATAACCCATTTTCCGGACGATGCTGCACATGAAGACCTCAAGTGGGCGAACACCAGAGTCTCCAAGCGTCACCTTTCCCTTGCCTGTGGTGAAATTAGTGAGACCCAAGTGATACCTCAATTCATCTTCTGAAGCTGCATAAGGAATATCAATCTTGTTTCCAAGAATCAGAAAGGGAACAGTTGCAAGGGCTTCATCTGAGAGAAGAGCGTCAAGCTCTCTTTTTGACTCAGCAAATCTCTCTTTGTCATAAGCATCCACAAGGTAAACAACAGCATCAACCTTTATACAACCAAAAAAAGAGTTTAAATCAGCAAAGAGATTACCATGTTTCTCTGCATCAGATTAATTCCAATATGCTAACAAAACAAATAGATCCACTAAAACATACTTTAGTTCGCTCTACAACACTAATAACCATAAGCTCTATGTAAATCTTAAACAATTCTGGTACTATACACACTAGCTCAATATCAACAATTCATATCAAATAAGCTATACGTATCTTACATCCTAAAGTAACAAGAGAAACCAAATTACCAAGAACTACAACCCCAAGATAATCTTTATGCCAAAAGATCCAAAACATAACTGGCTAAACTAAGGAAAAATTCATAAAAATTTCTTTGTCAAATCGTAAACTGATAACAAACCAAGACCACTGAGACATCTTGAGCCAAAAACATATGTAATGTAACAAAGAAACTTGCATCTAAGCTTCAATTTAGCATACCAACTACAACCATTAAAGATCTAAACTTTAAAGACTATATTGAAAGTAAAAAATCATAAAACTTTCTTTGCCAAAATCGTAAACTGATACCAAATCAATACCATTCGAAAACATCTTGAACCAAATACATATGTAATGTAATAAAGAAACTTTCATCTAAGCTTCAATTTAGCATACCAAAACTATAACCAATAAAGGTCTAAACTTTAGCATACCAAAACTATAACCAATAAAGGTCTAAACTTTAAAGAGTAATTTGAAAGAGAGAACATTAGATTAACCTTGGCATAGTAATCTTTCCAAACCCTACGAGCAATCTGATGACCACCCAAATCAAAAGCCTTGAACTTGATTTTACCAATGCTAAGTTCTTCAGACGTTGGATGTTGCGTCGGCTGATGCTGTACTAATCTCTAAATCACCAAAATTCACACAAACCCACACACAAAAACAAATCAGATCTCAAAATTTTTGACCCAATTTCAAAATTCTCATCACAAACACAGATCTAATCTCAAAATCAAACCTCGTCTTTGAGCATGTGAAGTAACGTGGTTTTGCCAGCATTATCGAGTCCGAGAAACAAGATCTTAGCTTCTTTTTGCCATAATCCTAAAGAAGCTAAGATTCCGTAGAACCAATCGAACAAGAACATGGTTTTCGTGACTTCGTCTTCTTCCTCACTGATCGATCTAACGGAGAGAGATGTGTTAATGCCAAAGACAAAAAAAAAAAAAAAGGAGTTATTAAGAAAAAAAACAGACGTGGCCGATGATCGAGCTGGTGTAGTGACGTGGCGTGTTGTGAGTGGAAGGTATCGTTATGATTGATGTCATTGAAGACAACCTGGACCATCAGATCTACTCATTTATTAATCAGCGGCTACCAAATTTTTTCTTGTTTTTCTCTTTTTCAGATTTTTTTTTTTTTAAACGTAATATATTTGCTTTAGATTTTGGAAAAAATGTAAAAGATTTGTTAAAAATTTAAATATAATTTTGGTTGAATTTTTGTGTGTACACCGCATAGAATTCATATTTTCTGTTTTGAACCCTATACATTATGGTATAAAAATATTAATTAACTTTTGTTTAACCATTACAACAACAACATTTTTAAAATTATATTATATTTTAAGTATATAAAATATTTATTCGGATCTCGGTTTGGTTATGGTTTTTGGGTGTACAAGCTTAAAATTCGTTTAAATACTTTATCGGTTTTGCATCAGGTTAGATTCCCATTTTTTGATCAATTACGGTTCGATTCAATAGTTTTATATATTTTGTCTAGACCATAATTATCTACTATAATTTTTTTTTTGTCTAGGTTTGGTTCACTAGTTTCATTTGTTTTCTATTTTCGAGTTTATATTTTTAGTTATTTATATAAAAAGAAAATATTTGAATAAATTTTATTTAAACTTTGAGTATTTTGGTTATTTGTCTTTATAAATAACTAATATTTTTGGGTTTATACTTATGTAAAGATATTTTACCTTAACAAGTACCTTAAGCATTCATAGACTTTGATTCATCCATCTCTGAGAAACATCGTGATCCACTTGATTCTTCTTCCGAATTATACACAACAAAGTAACTTAGATATTTGGTATCCTTCACAAGAAATATAAGTTTTTTTTTTCTTTTTTTTGTATGTTTGTGGTGTTTTTATAAATATGAGATTTTATAAATATGCAATCCTAGTATGAAGCTGACAAAAAAAAAAAAAAAAATGCAATCGTTTTTCATTTTGGTAATGTAGGCTACAAGACTAACATGCTTATGTAATATTTTATTCTTTTTAAGATTTCATATTATTCAAGTTTATAATAGGATTTATAATTGTTTTAAAAAATTGGCTACATACATGATTTGCCACGGATATTACAAGTAAAATTCGTAGTTGATAAAACCACTAATATAGTCACTTAAGAATCATAAAATCAGTGGCTATCTAGTCAGGAAAAACCACGAAATAATAAAGCTATGACGTTATAATCGCAATTTATTTTAGTGACAACTTTTGGTATCAGCTTGTAGTCACGAATATTCAGGTTAGGCGGGATGACAATAACTATATGTTTTTATATAATCTCAAAATAAGCTATATCTAGTCTTTCATTGCATAAAACCATTAGTAAAACTATGTTTACTTAGTGGATGAATATGAAACGAGGTAACTAACCCTAATGAATATGCATACAATATTATATCATGTTCACTTTTTAATGTTGTTCTTATGCCATAACATAGAAAAAATGAATTTTACTATAAAAAAACAACTTGAAACTGAATTAAAATAGTAAAGCAAGGTTTCACAATATATCAAATGATTAAATAAACGTTTTGTTTGGTCAGGGTAATTGTGTGGTAGGTAGTCCATTAAATTGTGATTTGCCTTGGATAATTGAATAAAAAATTACATCTTATTTCTATTTTATATTGATAATCATTTGAGTAATCTAGGTCTTGTTCGATATTGAGTGTTGTTTGTGGTGGAAAATGTGATTAAAGGAAGACAAGTTTATTTTGTAATAGATTGTTGGTCAGAACATACAGAAATAGACATTGATGAAAAGTTTAAAACAAAGCTGCCACGTCCATTTCATCATATAGCAAAATTAATAGTTTTACATTTCCAACCAAACTGTAGATATACAAATTTTATTTATTGAGAAAAGGTAACAAACAAATATATAAGAGTATGAGACTCTAAACTCTTTTTTAATTTCCACCATTTTTGCTTAGAGCTCATCCTGTAGTAAAATCATAATCACAAACTTAGTCACACTATCCAATTTCTTATACTTAGTTTGCTATTAAATGTTGAAAAAGAGGCTAGAACACATACATGGGCCGCATCGACTTGCTTAGTTTCCTTAGACTTCGTGTTCTTGTCCGAGTCATCTCCTTCATTGTCATTATTTTCTGGTTCTTCATCATCCTGTAAGAAATTAAACATTTATACAAGAAACCTTGAAAGAAACATAGAGTTTGTTAATATGCATTGTGAAGCTAATTAAGGTGTCTTACTTCAGATTCAACTAGAGCTTCTTTTGATTCCTTTGTAATAACCAACAAAGAAAAAACATACAAGAGTTCTTGATTACAACTTAACTAATTTGGAATAATTATACAAGATTTTATGGGATGGAGGATTAATTTGTTACCTCTTCCTCTCTTTTCTTTTCGACTTCATCAAATGCTGCCTTCTCTGCCTGTAACACCATATATTTTTATAACCTATGGTTTATTAAAGACAATATAACCAAATGAAGAGCAAGGATTGATTAACATACATCCTTGTGCTTTCCCCATGTTTCCTCGGCCAACTTTTTAGCATACTCTATGTCATCGCTTACCAAGACATTGTCGAACAAAGATCCCGATTTCACCTACCAAATCATACACCATATGTTTAAGTTTCAAACATATACCATCATAAACACATGACTTAGATATGTTATTATTACCTGCCACAACTCTACTCCAACATATCTCAATTTGGGGAAGACATATAGTTCTGGATCATCCTTGAACTCTACATAAAATTGAATGTACTTGTTTATTCGATATTACTTCATCCGAAAAAACTCAAACACTAGATATTATTGTTGCATCAATGAGTAAAAAAATCTCAAAATATATTTTAGTTTACTACAAAATGTATCAAGTTGGTGTGAGATTATAGAGTCATGGTGCATTTTATTACATGAATGTTATGATATAAATGGCTACAAAGATAGAATTTTACCAGGGTTGTCAATCATAGGAGCCTTCCACTTGCCCTTGTAATTAGGGTTTTTAATTTTCTACAATACAATATGATAACCGTGAGAGAAAAGCAACATAGTTTGACTATCTTTGTACATTAAAAAACCTAACAAACCTTGGGCTTCCATTTGCCCTTGTACTCAGGGTTAGGGATGGTTGGGGCAGTCCATTCACCATATTCTTCTTCATCCCATTCATCAGGCTAAAAAGGAAAAAAAAAACACATAAAAACTAAGAAGTGATGATCTAGATTAGGTTTTGCATCAATGCAAGAAAATGGTTCAAACCTTCGTTGCACCGGGTTCTGGAATATCCTTAGGGATGTCATCATATCCCTCCGGCTTTGTGTCTTCCGGATCAGGAATGTATTTTTTGTCATCCCAATCTTCAGGCTTCTGGACACTTGGATCTTTGATCTTCTTTGGTGGTAGGAGATCCCAATCAGAGTAGAGACTACCAGATTGCTTCTCAACATTATCAATCAAAATACTATAAGTAGCATCTGGTCGAAGGATGAAAGTGTACACATGAGTGAGTTGGTCAGTCTCACATGAGACCTTCTTCTTGATCAAGTGGTTTGTTCCATTGTAAGTAAGAATCGCATGTACATTCTTAGTCTCACCACATATATCAGGACCAAACATAATACTGCATGTAATAAAAAGATAAGTATGATGTATGAATGTTTGATGTTGATATAGAGATTGTGAAAAGAAACAAATTAATGCACCTGTAAGGAGTGTCTCCTCCAAAAAATTTCTGGTCAACATCACCACTAAGCAACTTCATGTAGCCACCACCACAGTCAAGCTTCTGCTCATGTTTGACAGAGAATTGGAAGACTAGGGTCTTGTCCTTGTTGCTGAACTCAGGAAACTCAGCTGATATAGCGTAGAATCTATTGTCTTCGCTAGTTTGTATACCTGAAAGAGAGTGATATAGAATAGGTCATGAACCAATGAATCATCATCACTAGTCCCAAAGACACATACCTTTATCATTAGCATCACCAGACCAATTGCCACCAGTGTGTTTCCATTCTCCAGCAGTGTTACTATCTTTCTTCCAGTCTGATTTTACCCATCTGTTCTCCCATCCATCTTAAGAAATTGATACAACAAAAAAAGAAAACAAATAATGAGTCTAGAACCTAGATCAAAACTTGTCATTTCATATGATATAAACTAAAGGATTTGATCATATAATAAAGTTTCAATCAAAGTAAAAAAATAATAACAAGAACAATAGTAAACAAAGATACATATATAATGGTTAAACAAGTTTATATATATATATATATATCATCTAGATAAGAAAAATAGAGATAAATAAATGTAAATACCATCGAATCGCTCCTCGAAGATAACTTCAGCAGAAACTATCACCACGAGAGTGAAAAGAATCATAGAGATGAATTTAGAGTTTAGTTTCGCCATTGCTAAAAACTTAGATAAGAGCTTCCCTAAGAACAGAAGATATGATAAAAGAGTTTGATATATATACATACCAAGAGAAGCTACTCTCTCTTGGCTTGCTGAAGTTGCATATTTCCAACCAATATATCATATACACGTCAGATTTGCATATTAACATTTCCATAATTTCTGTCAGATTCAAACTATTTTGTATTAAGAAAAATTAATGAAAAAATCATTACCATAAAGATAATATATTATGACTAAAGGTACATTTTATTTATTTATTTCTCACAACATTTAGTAATTGGTGGATTATATAGTTTATTTTTAAAATCAATAAAATATATTTATTATCTTTGTATTTTTAATAAAAAATAAATTTAATAAAAATTAATTGCAAATTTTTATTTAAGCAATACATATTATGAAGCATAATATGTCACATTTTCTCATGTGTCAATACCAGAAATTTTCTCATTTTTTTCTCCAATCTGATGAAAATATAATTTATCTCAATAAGTTAAGCTGTTAAAATAAAAAGTAAATCTAAATGATTTCTAGTATATTAATCTTAGGTTGATCAAATATATGATTTCAAAATCAATAAAATTGTAATTGTTATCTTAATAATTTTAATAAAATATATATGAAAAAGTTCCTCTAAATTTTTTATTAAAGCAATATCATCTATATATTACTTATTATTTTTATTTTTTTGGTAAACCCAACTATATATTACTATAAAAGTGAAGCAAGTATTGAAGAACAAATTTTTCAGTCCTTTTATTATCATAGTTTCTTTAATGTTTCTATACACATTGTCAAACTCCTTTGTTACATTTGTTAAAATGTGACATTATTACGATATAAGAAAAGATTATTTACAAAATCTTTGGGAGAAGTAAATAAAATCATGTTACATGCCCGAACAAAGAATGTAAAATAGAGCTTCACAGGATGATCTTCTCCTACAACTGGAACTGAAATAGAGTACTTGACCAGACCGGAGAAAGCCTAAGAGACAATGATTGTAACCAAGAAATCGTCCTACCACTGTCCACTGATTCGATAGGTATGCTCTCGGACACCACAACCATTTAAACCGTAACCACAATATGTTGATGTATTTACGTCATTATGATGACCTCAGTAGTAAATAGTAAGCACCCAAAGATTGAATATATGAAATACTAGTTGTTGACCCGCGCTGCGCGCGGGAGTTTTATAATTGTTTTTTTATATTTTTAAAATTTATATTTTGATTTTTCTTTGTTTTTTTTTTTTTTACTCTTGTTTTTGTATTAATTTAGTATATGAAATGTTTATTGTTATTTTTTAAAACTTTGATCTAAGTCAAATAGTAGCTCTTAGAACCTTACATGTTAAAAGCCTTCAATTCTTGTAGGCCAAATTATTCTGGTGAATCCACTTATTTATTTATCCAAGTATTTTCATTTTACTTTTTATTTTATTTTTTCCTACTTCTTATGCATAAAATCAGTTGTGTTCTCGTTTGATGTGGCTTCGGATGACATCAATTTAGTGATATATCTATCTGTATAGTATAAATATCCTTGTTTTGTATTTTGTTTTTGTATTTAGCCCCATTAATCAAAAAATTTATCATTACTTTATACATAGATACTTGTTTTATTTATTTTTGGACATAAATGTTTTTTACTATATTATTTATTTTCTTAAAACCACTACTGAATATAAAAATTAAATAAAGGCTAAGTTATTAGGTAAAAAAGAAATTAAAAACTAAAGTGTTGTAATTCTAAATCAATGTAAAAAATTAAGATGAATGATGATGTGACAGCTAATGTGGAAAATGATGTGGCATAAGGAGAAGAGAGAAAAAGTTAACTTTATATATATAGATACGATCTTCCGTCTAATTCATAAAGGGTTCTACTTCTAGATGTCATTCATGAAAGAAATTTTTTTTATTTTTTATTTTTTATTTTTTTTTTGCTAAGGAGATGAAGATGAAAATAAAATATTGCTTCATATACAAATGTTAGCAACGTTTTTTTTGGTACGACTTACAAACATAACACACATATATTGCTATCGTTTTTGGGCTTTTAATTTTAGTCCAAATTTAGTGGACACTAAACGACTCAAATAAGGGTTTTAGGGTTTTTGTTCTGTCGTCATTGTACGTCAAGTATATATGTCTTCAACTGTCGGAAGAAGAAGAACCCTAGAAAAGCCTTTTTTTTTAAGGTTGCCATAACATCAATCCTAGTTATGCGATGATGAATAATATGTCTAATCTTCCAAGAGACTTGGTTGAAGAGATCCTCTCTAGGGTTCCGGTGAAATATCGAAGAGCGGTTCGATTTACTTGCAAAACGTGGAACACTTTAACTAAAGATGATAGCTTTGTGAAGAAACATGTTGGCCAAGCAAAACTAGCATCAGCTAAGACAAAAGAGTTCATGGTGATCATGACAATGGGTTTTAGGGTTTATTTGACGAGTGTGAATCTCCACAGCAACGTTATAAAGCATGAAGCTAAGTTTACTAGCCTAGACGATTCAGATGTATTAGATGTAGTTAGAGTCATTCATTGTGATGGTTTGTTGTTATACATCACGAAAGGCAGTAGTAAGCTTGTGGTTTGGAACCCTTATTGTGGACAACCCCGGTGGATCGAATTCGAGCCTAGTTTCAACCGAACGGGCATATATTTGTATGCTCTAGGTTATGAGAAGCACATAAATTGTTGCGACAGCCACAAAATCTTGAGATTTAGTAATTTTTTTTACAAATTAAAAGAGTTCAAAATCTATGATTTTAACTCTGATAAATGGAGGGTTCTTGATGTCACACCAGACGAGAAGATTCGTATACCTTATCACAGTCGCGGTGTCTCTCTTAAAGGAAATACATACTGGTTTGCAGAAACAAGAGATGGACACGATTGTCTCATACTCTCATTTGATTTCACAAGAGAGAGATTTTGGCTGCCTTTGTCTATGCCATTTAAGTATTGGAAACCTGAAGATCTTGTTACTCTATCGAGTGTTAGAGATGAGCAACTTGCGGTTTTACATCAGCGAAGTGACACATTCATGATGGAGTTTTGGATTACGACTAAGATTGAGCCCAACATGGTGTCATGGAATACCAAGTTGTTCTTAGCAGTAAATATGGTGAGACCACATAGTCACTTTGGCCTTGGGTTTACATTTATGTCTCTGAGTTTCTTCATTAACGAGGAGAAGAAAGCCGCATTGGTTTTCAGTAAAGACCAAGGAGTTTCCCCTACTCGCGACATAGCGTACATTGTTGGAATGGATGGAACCTTGAAAGAAGCATATCTCTGTGTACATGAAAAATATCGTTACCCACTTGCATGTTCTTATGTTCCAAGTTTAGTACAACTTTAGTAAGTTCATTTTACAATAAATACCTATAATTAATAATCTACTTATTTGGTCTGATATGGGTCGCATTTTTGATGTTGTAGGGGATCGTGGTGTGATAGACCTGGGCATAACGAGAGACATGACGGTGGCTGAGGCTTGGTGTTCACGGTGACGGCGACGACACATGCATGAGCAATTAAACTACATTGAAACGGCATTAGCTTCTCACCATCTCCGCTCCACAAATAGACAGGATGTGGTCTTATGGCGTGGCAAGAATGATGTGTTCAACACCAATTTCTCTACTTCAGACACTTGGAACAACATCCGAACTCACTTACCTCCAGTCCCATGGCACAAGGGAGTTTGGTTCTCTCATGCAACTCCGAAGTACGCCTTCTGCGTTTGGCTAGCTGTTCATGACCGGCTGTCCACGGGCGCCCGTATGATTCAGTGGAACAGAGGGATCTCGGGGTCTTGTGTGCTGTGTAATAACAGCATTGAGAATCGTGACCACCTCTTTTTTCAATGCTCCTTTTCTCGAGAAGTTTGGCACACTCTCGCCAAGGGGATTTTCAATACCAAGTACACAAACATTTGGTCTCAGATTCTTCACACTATCTCCTCTACTTGGCCAACCACCGTGGAGAGCTTCCTTGCTCGCTACATATTCCAAGTCACAGTCCACACGCTCTGGAGAGAACGAAATGATCGGAAACACGGGAACGCTCAACATACAACTCGACACTTAATCAAGTGGATAGACAAGCAGGTCCGGGACCAATGTTCGATGATCCGGCGACTGGGAGACCATCGATATGATGCAAGCTTTCAATCCTGGCTTCATTCTCGACAAATTCCTTGAGGACTCTCTTTCTTCTGTTTACTATTTTCTATTTTTTAGCTTCTAAATCATGGCTTAAGAACTTTATCGACAAACCGTCGCACTAGTTGTAACACCGAACCATTTTTCTTTTGAGTATAATTTAACATTAGATTCAAAAAAAAAAAAAAAATCTACTTATTTGCAGAATTCAGGAAGCTTATTTTAGTCAAACCTGTTTATATAGTGTACGATCTTGTTACAAATCCACATCCCAAGATCTTTTTAAAGAGTCGTCAAGTCGATCAGAAATAATGAGATCCGGGTTCACAATCACCATTGTGGACAAAAAGACATTCATAGACCAAATCTTTAGTTTCGACAATCCTTTTTAGCACCTTGGAAATAATCTGTCATATTCATCATAAGGCAAAAGTATAGTTTAAACTGGTTGAGATGGCTCACACGACAAGAAACAATAACGGGTAAAAACTATAGTCGTTGAAGTTGTTCCGCATCCAAATTTTCTCCGAATGCTCATATGTGGAGACTAGAGAGAATACAGTAAAGCTATTAGAAGCCACAAGGATAAGGGTTACTCAAAACATAGAGCATGGATAGAGAAAATAGAACACTGATCTTGTTAGCGTGAATCTTTTTTTCAATGTACGTTCTTCTTGCCAATGTTCTAGCTTACACAAACTCACAGCGAGTTTTCGGAAACAATCTTCCATCTTTCGATCTTCAACATTAAAGAAACGGATTCGTTAGTCTCTTGCTCCTTGCTTAACTATTTTTTTTCTCAGAGGAAATGTGATTCCGGAAAACACAATGTTAAAACCAAGGTCAAATTCTTCAAACTAACCATTCAATTCTATCCGTTAACCGTTCCCATTTTCAATCTCCGGCTGCCCAACACGGAACAGGAGCTCGGAAAACAATAGGTTCATCGGTAACAGGATGATCCAACGACAAACACTCAGCGTGAAGCTCATGTCCCTCAAATGTCCTTCCACACCACTCATACCTTCCATGATACTTCACATCTCCTCTAATCGGAATCCCAAGATACTGACAATGTAACCTAATCTGATGCGTCCTCCCACTTCTCGGAAACGCCCTAACCACAACAACAACATCATCTCCCTCACAACTACTCACTTCTCGCTTCCCCTCAACTACAACCACACTCTCCACTTCACAAGACTCGGTTTTTACACCGTCAACTTCACAAGACTCACTTTTTACACCATTAACCGATACAACTTCAAACGTTGTCTCCATATCTCTAACAAAAGACCCACCAGGCAAGACTCTACCAACATCCAAAGCAGAGTAAACACGCCAAGCCCCGTGCTTGGACCGTCCATGACCTGAACTAACAGTGACCTTACTCCAATTTGGAGATGAACCAATACAAAGAGCAATGTAGGATTTACGAATCTTATGTTCTGTAAACGCCTTAACAAGCTTAGCAGCTACTTTATGAGACTTAGTAATAATCATCACACCACTTGTATCACGATCTAATCTATTCGCTAAATGAAACTCACTTGAAGAATCTGAAATCACAAAAAACCCAGAAATCGAAATTTGTAAAAATCATTCACCAACATGGAGAAATTAAGATTTTTGAGATTTCACTTACCAAGAACAATTTGAGGAGCAGAGCGAAGAACAGCTTCACAGTAAACACCTTTAGGTTTATTCACAGCCATTAAGTGTTCGTCTTCGTATAAGACATCGTCTCTTGTGAGATTGTAAAGACTCGATTTTGATGAAGCTTCCATTGCTCTCTTGAGTTCAATGTCTTTTGAAATTGGAGGGGGAGGGGAAGATATGGGTTTTGGGTAATTGAGATTGAGCTCAGATGTTGTAGCTTCCATGGATTTGATTGAGAATGCGAAATAGGGTTTTGTGATGATTGAATTTGCAGAGAAGGAGAAGGAGAAGAGGTTTCGAAGCAGGGACATTGGTGTGTTCTTCTCTAAGTGTTCATAAATCATTACACAAGGGATGTTTAATTCGAATAAACCGATCCGGTTTAGATAAACCGATCTAAAATCGAAGATTCTTTTGTAAATCAAGGATGCAAGCCCTGGGCAAAAGAAACCTGAACCAAAGTACCAAACCGAGCCGAACCAAAAAAGGATTTGGTTCGGTTTTGGATCCCACAAAATAACCGAAAAGATCTTAGTCACACTATCCATGGATACGGGATAAGAACATAACTAAACCGATTGTTTATAAATAACTAAATAGAACCGAATTTTGTTGGCAAACCCTCTACAAATCTACAATTAAACCTAATAAATTTTGGTTCAACTTCTCACCTAATACATTTTTGTCCTAATATATTTTTGGATATTTTATCGTGATATATTTTGTCAAATTTGTTTGGATATATAAGGTAGTTTAGTACTTTTTTATCATCTCGGATAAAACACCTGGAACCAAACCGAGATGTATTGGTAGTTTGGTTATTTTTGAGTATTTTTGGATAAAAAGCCTGGAACCAAAGTGAGATTTATAGATAGTTTGGGTTTTTTTTGGTGTCTCACATAAAAGAACAGGAACCGAATAGATAAATAACCGAACCAAAGCGAACCAAAAATGTTTTAGTTCCATTATGGAATCGTAAGAACCGAACCGAATGGAACCGAAGAACCGAACGCCCATGACATGCAACTGGACTTAAGACTCAATCCGAACCGGAGCTGTACCAAACCATACATTCTATGTTAGGTGTAAACCGGAAATTTTGTAAAATCAAATAATCTTAACCGAAATCGAATTGAACCGAATCTGCGAAGTTCGACGTCGTTTCTGATAAACCACAAACCCTAAACTACTCTGACAAGAATCGAAATTTTTTTCATTTCTCCGATCGATTTCGAAATGTTATCGTTAATCATCAGAAGATCTCGAAGCAGATTCATCAATGGAACCAAGATCAGAACTTGTATCCTCTCTTCTTCTAACTCTCTCTCAGAAGCAGATTCAGTTTTGGTTTCTAGACGAAGCTTCAATTCAACACCTTCGTCAAGCTATTTCGGAAAAATCAATCGGAATCACGTTTCCACGACTCGATCATTGAGCTCAGAAGCTGTAGCTGTAGCTTCGACTTGTGATGGACTAACAGTGGAACGAATCATAGCTAATCAATGGCCGATTTTAGATGAGAGTGAAAGTGATTGGAAGAGTCACGCTGCAGCGATTTCACAGTCTATTCAAGTCATCAAGAGACGATTACAGGTAAAATTGCATTTACAAGCTTGAGAATTGTGTGTATGTATGATTAGAATTAGTATATGCCATTGTTTGAATCTTTATATGTTTGGATTTTGGCAGTGGAAGAAACTCTTGGTGAGGTTGAAAGTGTTGTCTGCAGAGCTGAATAAGCCTGATCTTTGGAATGATCCGAATCATGCGGGTAAGATAAGCCGGGAGCACGGTTCGCTTACGGGGAAAATGAAAGGAGTTATGACTTTTGAGAGAGAACTGCTTGAACATATTGATATGTTGAAACTCGCTAAAGAGGAGAACGATTCAGAGTTAGAATCGGTGGGCGTTTTCGCACTCTAGGCATGTGTTTCTTTTTCTGTTTCTGTTTCGGGTTGTCGTTTAAAACGGTTAGTATCAGAGTTATGCGTAAAGTTACAGTGGAACTACTTAAGAGTTGAGACCAAAATTGCCAATCTGGTTGGTAATATTGCTAACCATGGATTATTAATTTTGCTGCAGGAGACTTTGAAGGCATTGATTGATATGAGAAGGGTTTCAAAAGAGAAAGAACTTGAGGCTTTATTATCTGCGGAGAATGATACGTGTTCCTGTTATATTGAGGTGATTATTTGAGACAATGTGCATGAGATTTTTCTGTCTCGGGCTTGATATTATAAAGCTGATAGGTCTGTTGAATAGGTTCAAGCAGGAGCTGGAGGAACAGAGAGCAATGATTGGGCATCAATGGTAATGGAAATGTACAAAACATGGGCTCAACGACGCAAATTCTCAGTCACTGTGGTTGATGAAGCGCCTGGAGAGATAGCAGGAATCAAGGTTTGCTTTTTCCCCTCTGTATATAAATGAATCATACATTTGTAATACAGCTGATAGAATCCAAACTGAGAAAATCTTTATTGATTCACTTTAGCAAGATCAACATATCATAGAGAGACTTAGAAAATTCCATAAACCACCCAAGGTATTTTGTCCCACGGTCTTTCTAACAAGTTATCTCTGTAGCTATCCTATTCAACTATAGTTACTGAACTGTCTTACACACCTACCACTACTAACTACTTACTAGTTAGGCTAGTTACAATGCTCCTGCAGTAGACTAATACGCAATATTATCAGGATCACATACATAACCATTGGCTCACTTATTGATCCAATTGTGTGCAGTTTGTCCAATATTCACTGCAAAATCTCATGTTTTAATGGCAATTGGTCAATTCTATAGTTTTGAACCGTTGGCTTACATTTAATCCATTTTCCTGAGTAGCGGGCGACAATTAAAGTGAATGGTGAATACGCATATGGATATGCCAAAGCAGAAGTTGGAGTTCATAGGCTGGTGCGTATTTCCCCATTTGACAGTGGAAAACGGAGGCACACTTCATTTGCTGCGGTCGCGGTGATTCCAATTCTAGGTGATGGCTCAACCCGTGTGCAGATCAATGAATCGGATCTCAGGATAGAGCGGTTTCGTTCTGGAGGAGCTGGTGGACAGCACGCTAACACAACGGACAGCGCTGTGAGAATCATTCACATACCAACTGGCATAACAGCAACTTGTCAGAACGAAAGGTCTGGTCTCAATGTCTTAATTTTTCTGTTACTTTTCTTTACACTCTTCCTTATTTCCCATTTAAAAAGGAATTCTGGATATGGCTAGGCTTTTGTTTTTTTGGGTTACGGTTCAGAGAGATTTATATGGAAGTAGGACAGAATCTGGTTTCGAGAAATGTGTAGGACAAAGTTGTTTTCGATTAGGTTCCATTCGATTTGAATTCAGTTTTTAGATTGAATTGCATTTATATTCCCATCATTGATTTTGGTATGCAGGTCGCAGCATATGAACAAGGCTTCAGCAATGGCGGTACTACAATCACGGTTAGACCAACTAGAGATGGCTCGTCAAACAGCAATGAACGCTCAACATACACAATCACTAACCGAGATCAGCTGGGGAAACCAAATAAGAACTTATGTTCTCCATGTATGTAATACCAAATTCACACACGATTCCCCTGTACTTTGAATTTTTAGTATCTGAACGAGCTGAGTGTTCTTTGTCTTTGCAGCCATACAGAATGGTGAAGGATCTGAGAACAAACTACGAGGTCACTGATCCGGACTCGGTTCTTGAAGGAGACTTAGATGGTTTCATCTTGAGCTTCTTATCTTCTTCTTTAGACAAAGATGATCCAGGACATTAAGTTTTATTTGGATCTTGAGCTGATGATCTAGTAGTTTAGTTTTGGAAGATTTGTTTAGAAATGTTGACATGATTTGTCTTAAGAAAGTTTATGTTACTCCGAAAAAGTTAGAGTGGCGCAAACATATTCATTGTTTTAACAATAATAAAATGGCTCAATGTAATTTGATAATACAATATTACTTCTAGCATTTAACTTTTTTTTTTATAAAAATTTAAAATCCAAAAAATCGTCAAATCTCAAAAAATGTGTTTGTTTTTTTTTTTGTTTTTTTTGTGTTTTGAAAAGTGTTAAGAACTGTTAAATTTTATGAGTTAACGATTTTCATGTTTACTCGAGATTATTATATGCGAATTTATAGAAAAAGAAAGAACAAACTATTTTAAAATCCAAACAAACTTTATTGAAATCCAATTAAATAAAACTTAGAAAATCTAAAAATCCAAACAGAAAATCAAATAGTTGCTAACAAAATAATCATCTAAAGAACAACTAAATCCTAAATCAAATTCTAAGACACTTAAACATTGCCGGAAACCGATTCTTCCTTTGGCAAATTGTATCGATTAAGCAACATAATGGAATCAGCGGCCACGGGTTCGTTGTCTTGGTTCCTATGCCATGTGTAGGCAGCATGAGTCTTGTTCTTGATTTCCAAAATGGCATGACCAAAACTCGCCTCACGATATGCGGAGTAACTTGGTTGTGGCTCGGTAAAGCTGTTTGCAATACCTTCGATGTTTCCACCATCTCCGATTGTGATGTAAATAGGAGCAGATGGGTCTTTCACCGGAGTAGACAAGCCATCGGTAATATTGTACTTGATGTTAGAGATACGTTCAGATCTCTCGTAAGCATGAACATGACCCGCCAAAACCAAATCCACCTTGCTGTTAACGAGCCATGATTCGAACATAACCCTCATGCTCTCACCTTCCATGAAATGGTAGTTATTACTGTTGTACCATGGAGAGTGAACCATGACAATCAACCAAGGAGTCTCTTCTCTGTTCACCTTCTTCAACTCTGCCTCGAGCCACATGTATTGAGGCGTGTACTTAGCTGAAAATGAGATAACATGTTATATACAAGAAAACTAAAGTAACATTAAAATATATTTAAACATTCACTTATCAATTACCATATGGAGAGTAAGATGAGAGGACAATAATGTACGCTGATGCACGTTTGAGTGAATACCAAAGAGGAGAAGTGCTTCCTGAATCTTTATAGGCGTTGGGGTAACGGTGAGTGTATGGTTTGAAAGCGTGAGGCTCACCCTAATAAGATTCAAATGGTTACAAAAACAACACAATAAACCAAATGATTATGAAAATAATTATAAAGTGTTATGTTTTGATTTTACTATGGTTGGAACGAAATCAATCTCATGGTTCCCGGCTGCAAAGATGAAAGGCTGATAAGCCGCACAAGGCTCCATGAATCTTCCCCAAGAGTCCCATTTTCTCTGGTCATGGTTCGGATGGTCATCGGCATAAGACAAGTCTCCGACAAAGAGAACAGCTTCTCCTACAGGGTTTGACATGTAATGATACAATGTCTCGTTAGAAGCATAAGTTTGTCCAAGATCACCTACAAAAGATACAAACATAATGTATTAGGTCAATTAAAAAAAACCCTAACTTTTCAAAAAAATATTCTTAAAACAAAACAAAAACAAAACGTACCAATGATTCCAAATGTGTATGGAACATCAGGTCCGACCTTTGGAGGAGTTTTAAAGGAGAATTTTCTAGCGGATTTATCAGTACCAATCTCATAAGTGTAATTGGTATCGAACTGCAAATGTAAAAAATACAAAAGTAAACAAAAAAATCTATGAATAAATGTAAATTTTTGTTACTTGGATGAGAAGTTAGGTTTATAGAAAATTACAAACCTCGAGTCCTCTAAGGGTAGCATGATGGAGGAATCCAGAAGTATAGTCATAGAATCTGTAAGACTTTGTAGCTGCATGAACTCTCTTCTTCAACGGCTTAACATCAGTAGTATTAGGAGCGATCCAGTAAGTAACAACGTCCGAGCCAGCGAGATTTATCGGTGTAACCCACGAGACAATCATACCACTTCCATCATGATCTCCTTGGGTTAGATGAACCTAAACAAAAAACCAAAGACAAATAAGTAAAGATCTAACAAAAATTCTAAATCTAAACTCTAATACAACAAGTGAAAGTGATGATCGAAGTAGAATAGGTTTAAAGATTAGGATGATCGAAATGAAACCTGTTCGGGAGTGTTGTAGCCACCAGGAGAAGGGAACGTGTCGAGGGACATCTCAACGGACGGCATAGCTTGGCGGACAAACTTGCTGGTGATACCAGCATTGATCAAAGTGGTAAAGCTTAGAAACAAAAACGCTAACAAAACTAGATTCTTCATTTTTGATGATTTTTTTTGTTTGCTTTACGAATACTAAGTTTGATTTGGTTGCGATTAGTGATGTTATGGTTGTGTGAATATATATAGAGAGGGTTCATTGAGTGTTATTCTCGAATAATCAAGAGAGATAATATCTAGTTTAAGGAATATGCTAGTATAGAAAAGATTTTGTTCCTAAGTAGTTAGGAACTATTTTGAATTCTTTTTTATTTTTTTGTATTCGAATTTTTTTTTTAATTACTAAGCTTGTACGGTGAGTACTTAGTAGTTATTTTTAAGAAAAACATTTTGATAGAAAAATAAAATAAAACAAAAAAATGCAAATTTTATATTGTTTTTGACATCTTTGTATCGACAAGGTCCGACCATAGCTAAATCCTTACTACGCAGTAACGCAACATAGTGGAATCGAAACTTTGATAGAAATGGTGGAGTCTAGTAGAATTAGCCACTGGACTAAAAACACATCCCCTCAAAGGAAATTATTTTTCGATTTCACAAATGGATGTTTGTAGGAATATAGATATGGTAATTTGTTTGGTTAAGGTATGTTTTAGTTAGTTATAAGTTTACTTCTTTTTTTTTTTTTAATACAATATAAATTTTATAAGAATATATACATAATCTGGGTTGAAAAAAAAAAAAGAATATATACTTTAATCATAGAGAAATAACAGCATTTTCATTTGTAATTTTTTTACTTTGTTTTCTTTTTATTTAATTTTACTAATTTTATTTTTTATTTGTTGATGATTTGTTGTGATAATCAAAGCTGCAAAAATCATTATTATATCAGAATAAAAATCGTAATATGGATTTATGACTAACAAAGTTTTTTCGTTTCTCTAGCCTCCATTTTTTAATACTTTGGGAATAACTTTATAAGCTAAAAAAGAGAAGCATATTCTTAAATAATCTGACATTACTAATATAAACTTGTTATCTAATATAAAAATAAAAATAAAAATGATTATGTTAGATTAGGAATAAGCGACTAATAAAAGTGTACATAGCATAAAATGTGGAGAAATATACAACATATCATTAAATTTTCAAAAATTATATAATCTTAAAAACCAATTACATTTTATGTAATCCTAAATCTATAGCCAAACCTCCTTGAAAACATATCTATCCGATATTTTTTAAAAAACATTCGGAACTTTAAATTGTCAAAATCTTCTGTTTGGGATTTGGATCTTTCCAATTAATTTCCAGCATATTATAATTATTTTAAAGATACTCAATATAAGGAAAATCTATTAAAAAATATATAATCTCCATAATTAACACATATATAACAACTCAACCAATAAAATATTAACTCTATTTGAGATCTTTTAAATATATAGCAATATAAAAATTCAGAATCTGAATCTTAACATATATGATTTTAAATTCTAACTATATTTTAATTTAAAAAAATATATATTTTCATTAACCATGTCTACTTACCAAATGTGCACAAAATAATAATTACTACCACCTAAAATATATATATTTCCGATAGAAAAAACGTAAATATAAGAATAAAAAAAAATTACGAATGCAATTAAAGAACACTATTAAAATAGTCCATATACTGATAATCATAATTACTTTTAGCTTAAAAATAATATATAGTTTCACACTTACAATCATTCGTAATTTTTTCTATAGTTTCTATCTTTTTAATTTTAAAATTATAAATTTTTTAGAAAATCTCCTATTTTTGATTCTCAATTAATATTATAGATGAATATACATCATTTAAAACATTAATATTTTTATACTTCAGTTTCTATAACTTATTTTAACAAGTTATAAAAATGATACGAACTTCCTAAAGAAAGCTCAAGTCACTTTAAATTCTATTTTGAATACACCCCCTAAATTCAATTTCAATTTTCAAATATCAAATAACTAGTATGATACATGAACATGAATTTGAATTGTTAAATTCACTTTTAACTTTCCAATTTTATTTCAAACATCAAAACATGAAATAACGGGTACAAGTAATTTGATACATAAAAATATCATCTAAACTATTCATAATAGAATATGAGACAAAAATTTTAGCTAACTCGAATTCAAGAAGAACATATGGGGACATATTATTTAGTAACTAGATTTGGACCCGCACGTAAGTGCGGAATTGATTTCAAAAACAAATTTTTTATTAAATTTTGAATATATATTATGTATGTACGGGATTATGTTTATAAATGTAACTTTTAGAAATGTTATTAATATCTATATTAACATTTTTGAAGTACCTTTTGTGTTCTACCCTTTTATTTTGTGATATTTTCATAATTAACCCCTTGCCATTTGATTAAATAGAAAAAGTTTAAGATAAATTTTATAATTAAATCATAATAAAATTGCAAAATTAGAAATCAATATTTATTACATTTAATAAATTTCCTAAAATCTCTCTAATAAATCAAATATTTCTCCAACATCTTTATATGATCTTATTTGTTTTTAAATTTATATTATTACATAAATATATGTATAATAAAAATATAATTTTTTTTTGCATATGTTGCAATTTGAATTTTTAGAAACGGATGTATATTAATCAAACGATACAAAAGTGGATGTACTAAAGTATTGTTGATAATTGTGTAGCACGGGTCATGTGATGTAACAAGTTATAATTTACATAATTATGATTATAAATAATTTTACGGGTGGTCTACTATAGTATAACTTACAAAATATTTTAATATGAAATTATACTATGTAAACGAATATTATGTCAATATCATTTCATTATTTTAAATATTATACTTATTTAATTAATTTGATTAAATTACGATTATATATAGAATAAATTATCATATAATATTGTACGGATTAAATCATAGAATTAACAATCAAAATATCTATCTTAACATTTTTGAAGTACATTTTGTACTAAAATCTATTTTGTCTTACAACCTTTTATTTTGTAATATTTGCATAATCAAACTCTTGCCATTTGAATAAATAACAAAACATAAAAGTAAATTTTGTAATTAAATCACAAGCAAATCCCAAAATTGGAAACCAAATATTTATTACATCAAAAAATTTCTTAAAATCCCTCTCTAGTAAACCGAATCTCTCTTCAATATATTTATATAATCTTATTTGTTTTAATTTTATATTATTACATAAAATATATTTATAATAAAAATACAAATTTTTTTCCACATATTTTGCAATTTAAATTTTTGAAAACGGACGTAGTTGACTCAATCAATAAAGGAAAAAATATATGTACAACGTCTACATAAGATAGAAAATTTTAGATAATAGTTCAAAACTTTTATAAATAAGACTAATATGTTTACAACTACAAATGAGCATGAACTTTGATTTCTCAAGTATCCAAATTAAAACTTTTATTAGCTTAATCCGGTTCTTTATTAAAGGAAAATAAAACTTTTAAAAAGTTTCAGAATATTATAAATTTTAATTTTTTAACAAGTTTAAAATGTGACAAATATTAAAACTTTAAAAAGCTGAAAATTATGATATTTTATTTAAGTTTTATAGAATATTAGAATAATGAAAAATATTTAAACTCTACAAAAATTAAAAGTATTTATTAATATTTTAACTCTACAAATATTTAAAATATAATAATATTGTACATAAATATGATTGAACGGGTATTAGTTTACATAAATATGATTATATTTTTCTGCGGGTTGTCTATATTTAAAATCTTTTATGGGCTAAGTTAAAATATAATTTTTTATTTACAACAAAATCGTCTCGCGATGTACAGCGAGTTTACCACATATATCTATGAATCTACTTATAATACAAATTTATAAAATTATATTAAAATTAAATGAAATAAATAATACAAAACTAAATTATATAAACCAACTACAAAAATGAATAACCAAAGAAATATATTAAATTATGGACCCGTGGTGTACCACGGGATAAATCCTAGTTTATAATCTAAATCAGTACCAATTCAATATTTGATTAAAAAAAAATTAGGTTAAACAAAAAAACGATAATATTATTTAGATTAAATATGTTTATATATGTTTAATTTCGAATTTAATTGTCTATTTTTATGCTAACCAAATCAATATTATTTCTATAAATATAGATTTTTTGTTTTTAAGGTATCATTCTAATTGTATATACTATGTTCACTTTATACAAAATGCTTCTCTTTTAATAGTATAGATGTGCTAATCAATAGAGATTTTGTTTTTTTTAATAGATTTTTCTTGATATTGATTTTTTTTGCAGGAAATTAGTTGGGAAGATCCAAACATAAGATTTTGACCATTTAAAGATCCGAAATTTTTAAAAACAATATCGGATAGATATGTTTTTAAGGGTGTTTGATTACAAATTTGGGTTTACATAAAATGTAATAAGTTTCTAAGATTATTTAATTTGAAAAATTTGATGATATTATTATTTATGTTGTCTATTTCTCCACATTTTATGCTATATAGAATTTGATTAGTCGCTTATTTCCTAATCTAACATAATTTTTTTTCTTTTTATTTTTCCTTAAATATCATCTTCTTTTTCTAAAATATATGATAGTTTTTTATTATATTTTATAAACATAAATTATTGTTTTTGAAAATATCACAAAATAATATTATTTAGATTAAATATGTTTATATATGTTTAATTTCGAATTTAATTGTCTATTTTTATGCTAACCAAATCAATATTATTTCTATAAATATAGATTTTTTGTTTTTAAGGTATCATTCTAATTGTATATACTATGTTCACTTTATACAAAATGCTTCTCTTTTAATAGTATAGATCGTAGGAAATAGGTCCTATCATATTTTTAAGGGCTTATTAAATTTTCATACCCAGATAAATTGAAAACAAAATTTTTGGTCTGGATAAAAAAAAAATTAAGTCTCTCTCCACCTAACACATAAAGTTACCCAGCTACCCCTAACTTAATTTGCACAAAACAAATAATAGCTTTTACATTATAATAGAGTAGGGAGCAGGCTACACTCACGCTAACCTCCTCTAGCTTCTGACGCGCCGACGTTGGGAGGATAAAGATTTTGGAGAAGATACAATAATGACTTCAAATACGGTACAGTGGAGGCTATTGGTTTGGTTATTTATTATGTCGATATATCCGTAAAGAAGATATTATTAGATAATTGTAAAGTTAGTCAAATAAGTTACATTCTAACCCCCTACTAAATAAAAAGTCCCAATAAATTTAAAGTTATCAGCTATATTTCTTATTATTTATATACTAATGATTTCCAAATCAAAATAAAATTTTGTTTAATTACAAAATCTAAACCCTAACCACTATTTTATCAACTCAAACTGAAATATAATTTCATTTAATTACAAAATCTAAAACCTAACCACTACTTTGTCAACCCAAACCAAAATATAATTTCGTGTAATTACAAAAACTAAACCCTAACCACTATTTTGTCAACCCAAACCAAAATATAATTTCGTTTTATTACAAAATCTAAACCCTAACCACTATTTTATAAACACAAACAAAAATACATTTTTGTTTTTTATAAAATCTAAAGCCTAACCACTATTTTATAAACTCAAACCGATATATATTTCCATGAACTCAATAACACTGTTCATCAATGATTAAAAGCATTCGATAACTTTTTTAAAACATGTTAAATAATATGTTATCGCTTAAGTTACATATTATCCGTTAAATTGAGTATTTAGATAAACCGGTAATAAAAATATTTTATACAAGTACGTAAATACAAACCGATATCAGTCGTATAATAATTAATTTAACTAGATAATTATGTGTTATCAAATAACTTATCATTTATAGCGGTAACATATGATTAACTATAAGTAATTTAACTCGATAACTATGAATTTATCAAATAATTTATAACGTATACCAGTAAGATATGATTTACAAAGTTAACCAAATAAATAACCATAAATATTATAGTTGATATTATAACCGATCAGACTAAAACAATATAATTAGACATTAATCAATAGCTACTAAATTTATGTTATATTTGTATCGAGCTAACAATATTTGTATTGGATAATATTATACTTATCTAGTCAAAAACATTGTATTAGATAATATGCTCACAACACCTCTTCCTCCACGAATCTTTGTCCCTCTCCCTCTCTTCTTCTTCTTCTTCTTCCTCCTCTTCTTATCTTTGCCTCTCTCATCTATCTCTCAGCCGACCTCTGTACACAACTCATTCCTCAAGTGTTTCTCCGAGAAGAACAAACCACCGCAATCCCAAATCACCGACAATTTCTTCTCATAGAGCAGCCCTGCTTTCTCCTCCGTCCTCCGTGCTTCCGCAATGCTCACCGCCGCTGTCATCTGGTCAGAATCCCTAAATTTTCTCCTCAAAATCCGAAGCGGCGGCCAAAGTTTGGTTTCTCGAACAATTAAATTTGTTTTTGATTGGCAACTTTTTTTTGCTAGGAGCGCAGGAGTAGCTTGAAGAAACTAAGTTTTGTTCTTAACGGACATGTCTCTAACTATGTGCTCTCTGGCTTCCAAGTTCCAACCAATGTTCCCTATCAATAAAAAAAAAGCTGTCACGAAAACATAATCTCACCAGAGAAAGCGGTTTAATGAAAAAAAAATGATCTACAATATTTTTATAATAGATTAATTTTTAAGAAAATATTTATATATGTCTAATGTTGCATTTTAATATTAGTCTTTATTAAAAAATATTTTTTAAAAAAATAAACGTGTTAATTTTATCAGAATAAAGTTATTAATTATAAATTTTAGTTTCCAATTTCTTACAATTTAATTAGTACATATAAAAAAATAATTGTGTCAACTAGTGCAATGTTTGAAAATTTGTGGAGTGTGTGCTATAATTTTCTATAAAAATTAATTTAGTGTTATTTGAAGAAATTTTATATGTGTGTTTTTTTTGTGTGTATTCACTACTAAAACTTTTAAATAATTTAGTCAAATAAATTTATGAAGATTTTAAATGACATATGATGTAAATATGGCCAAACTAAAGATTGCAGTAAAGAAAATATTCCCTTTCAATAGATAGTAGATATACCAACTTTCATATAAATGTATGTTTTAATTTTTAATTGGTAATTTTTTTTTTTTTTGAAGATATGATCATATAAAATTTAAAATGTATAAATATTATTTTATATGTATGCTAATATCATTTTTTACATTGGTAGTCATATCAAATCTTTCATAATTGTAACAACCCGCCCTATGGCACACTCAGCGCCAGCAGTTGCCATGTGGCGGAGTGTGCCATGAGGCGGGGTCCCATGGGGCGGGACGGGCTGTTACAATAATTTAGGCAATATTTTATGTGAAATTTCTTCTAAATGGAATGTTACAAAATTTTAATAGTTTTAAAAGTACATTCAAATCCATTGTTAATAGAAATATATTTTTTTTGGTTAAAGAAAACATAGTGTATTAGTAATATCAAGGTGTTTTAATTTAGTAGATAAATTTCTTAAAAATACAAAGTATCAAATCAAATAAATTAATGTGAGATTGCAGACAATTTTGTTAACAAACCATAAAAGAATTCCTAATTCATCATAATAATTTAAATTCTCCTTAATTTTAAAAAAAAATCAACCATTGTTAAATCTATAAATAAGTACTCATGGCGCTCTAGAACAATCCATCAAACAAACAAATCTTGTATTCTTGAATCAAAAGTTCATAAAGGTCTCTTAAACTAGTAAAGAGAGAAATGAAGAGTGTCATGAAGACAATGCTGGTCCTAGCATTGTTAGTGATTGCCGTGAGTGCAGAGACAGCAGTGGAACGATGTAGACGAACAACATGCGAAACTAAATGTAAAGACAGCAAAAGTTTTGGTTGTTCTGATTGTCTCCTTCGATGCGCCATACCTGGAGGTAAACCAAACTCTCTCTATATAACTCCAAATAATTTGTTTTTAGAATTGTGTTCATAAACAATGGTTATGTATGTTTTTTAGGTGGCAGCAAAATAGATCAACGAGCTTTGTGTCTCAAGAACTGTGATGTTGGTTGTGGTCCGAGCAATGACTGTTACCAACGTTGTATTAAACGTTGTCCTAGTACTCTGATGATTTGATTAGTTTTACAAGTCCTACAATTATAGTTTTCGATTGTTCTTTCTCTTCAAGTATGTGATGTGCGGGTTGTAATTGACGTATATTATAAACATTTTTTTACGAAATAATAATAAAATGTTACTTAAAAAAAAAAAAATTAAGATGTTACAGAAAAAGAAAAAACAAACATTTGATGGTGACATGCACAAAATACAAAAAAACTTACCTTCTTATTCTTATATTCTTAACAAGGGATTTGCAAAAAAAAACATTTTTAAATTATCCATAACTAAAAATATACTCTTTTGGTGTTTATTTTGAAAAATACCCTCTCTTGGTGTCTATTTTCAAAAATGCTCTCTTCTATCTCTTCTACATACAAACTGACAAAATTACACTCCTTTAGTGATACCCATGATGAAGAAAAAATATTCCTTTCAACAAAAATAATATTTTTTCCGAAAAAAATTTCACCAAATGTTCCCGCCAAAAATTTCCGATAAAAAATTTTCCGACAAAAGTTTGAGAAAAGTTGGCTTGCATGTTTTTGCGACCTGGTGTGTCATAAATTCCTATAGCTCATAACTTTTCACTATCTCAGATGTATTTGTAAGTTTGTAACTATCCTTGCAAAAATATATACTATTGGTTTATCATGAGATGCACTCCACTGCCAAAGAAGTTGTATTAATTAGCACTTGTAAGTATTGGTATTAGTAATGAAAAAAGCTCTAGTTCAGCCTAGTTCTTGATTCTGTCTAATACAACAGATTGGTAGGGAACTAGTAAAAAATGTAGTAGATAATCTATTTGGAGAACGGGATGTGAACTTAAAAATAATAAGAAAAGGATTTCGAAATCGTTTTCCATCAATATACTGCTTCTTACTACTCTTGCAAAGCGTCAAGGTGGATCAAGGAGGATTCTTGGCTTGATTACATTCTAAAGGTGTGTGTCTCCGACTATGTTTTCATTCCAATTCAGGAAAGTAATTAACGTCAATAAGTTTATACTGCAGTATGGGGAGTGTCTAAAAAATGAGAGCTAGGGAGAGAGTCACTTACTACCTTCATTCAAGCACTGAGTCCAAACTAATTAAGGTTGGTTGTTTGGTCTAGTTATTTGGAATTAATCATACTTTACTAGGGTAGTTTTAACTTGATATATATGCTTATTTCTGACAGCACCATAGTTATACTTATTGACTTTTTTATGATTACCTTTTTCCATAGTAATGACAATAGGTTCTTTCAGGTAATATGTTCTCATCCCAAACACTATTTGAACCGGCAACCTCTAGTCTTCTGCCAGAGTTTTCGCCTTCTCGTCAGTTCAAAAGATCTAAGGATGTTTGATTTTCTTAGTGTGAACTATATACTTCACCCAAATGCAAATATATATTACTCAAATTACATAAACTATACAAACTCAATATTGTATTTAGTTAGATGACTCAAACAAATATATATAGTTTATCATAATTTTTGTGTTCTAAAACTATACCAATAATTTTATTGGTAACCCTTTTTCAGTTTTGTTTTTTTAACATGCCATGACGTCAACAGGCCCAAAATAATTGGTATATATATATATGTGAAGAGGGGGGGTGATTCGTTTCAAATAAATATCAAAACCCTAATTTCTACTTTTGCAAACACGAGAGATCACAAAAGACAGAACCAACGATGATGTCTAATCTTCCACAGGATTTGCTAGAGGAAATACTCTATCGGGTACCAGCCACATGTCTAAAACGAATACGACCTACATGCAAAAGATGGTACGCTTTATTCAAAGACCAAAGATTCTGCAACAATCACTTCCATAAAGCACCAAAGCAGTATCGTATTCTCATGTTGAAGGAAACTAGGGTTTCTATATTGAACTTCAATACAAAGTTTATAGGTACAAGTCTTGTCCTAAAGAACACTACTTTTAATCCAGAACAAGTCTGTATCGATAGAGTTTGTCATTGTGATGGTTTGTTGTTATGCACCACCAAGGATAATAGACTTGTAGTTTGGAACCCGTGTTTGGGGGAAACATGGTGTATCCAACCTAGAACTTGTAACAAGATCTCTAGCTTTGCTCTAGGATATGAAGAAAACAAATCTTGTCCTAGCTACAAGATCTTGATTAACTGGTACAAACAAAACTCTCAAGCTATGTATGAAATATATGAGTTTAGTTCTGATTCATGGAAGGTTCTTGATGATGTCGGTTTGGACTGCGTCATCTTCACAAATATTGGTGCGTCTTTGAAGGGAAATACTTACTTTATTGCTGAATATACACTTGGTGGGTGTTTAGTTTGTTTTGATTTTACAAGCGAGAGATTGAAACGTTTATGTCTTCCGCCAAGTAGCTATCACGGTTGTATGGCTTTATCAGTTGTTGGAGAAGTAGAACAACTCTCATTGTTAAACCGAAATTGGAGTTTATCAAAGGTGGAGATATGGGTAACAAATAATATTGATACTAGTACCGAAGCAGCCTTGTTGTGGACCAAATCATTTGCCGTGGACTTCTCAGTGTTAGGTTATTGTTTTTCCGGTTTTATATGTTTTTTTAACAACGAAGGAACGAAGTTAAATGTGTGTATTAACGCAAGGTTTGGGACCAGCATGAAGATGGTACACATTAAGGACAATGAAGATTACCATATTATAGATTCTACATACGAAGAAAGGGCGTGGGCAGGTTTTTTCAGTTATGTTCCAAGTTTGGTTAAACTAAGGATGTGATTTCTTGATTCTCTTCTTTTTGTTTCGTCTTTCTTTCGATGAACACTATTGACATTGTAATTCTACATCACATGTTTTTGTTACTCTTTGCTTTATATATCAACTCTAAGTCTCTAAAACTATAAGTACTACATTATTAATAATGTGGCTTAACTAATCCCAAAAGCTAGTTCAAGGGAGAAGTGTTACCCAAAGACCCTATCTCACTATCCATGTGGAATATTCTAATAGTCCTTTTCGAGATGTGGATCTAATAGTCCTTTTCGAGATGTGGGTGGAAACGGTCCAACATGGTAACTGTACAAACCCAACATCTCGAAAATACAACAAAACATGCCACTTATATTGATAGAGTAACATATTGATAGGGTATGAGGCAAACCAGAGGGAGTGGAACTAAGCCACGATGACTAAGGTGTAATTGTGTATAAGAATTGCAAAACTATGGACGAAACAAGCTTGTGCCGAGCTTTTGAATCAGATTGTGCCGAGCTCATTGCAATGGTACAAGACCCGCAAGAGTGGCCAGCATTCTCCAACCTCATAGACGAGTTCCTTCTGTTACGTGTATCGTTTCCGTCGTTTTCTTTAACTAAGATTTCCCGTGACTGTAATTCAAAAGCAGATTGTCTTGCTCGTTTTTCCAGATCTCTTGATTCGGAAATTACTTTTGTAAACAACTTTCCTCCTGTTTAGGCTACCAATCATGGAGTAATATTTTAATAAATGTATGGTTGATAAAAAAAACAAGCTTGTAACCCCAAGTTTATGTACTCATGATGAATGAATCTAGTGAGTTTAAAAACTACTTAAAAAAATTAATGAAAATGTTGACGGTTCTGCAAGTGGTAAGATGGTTCCTCATCATTGTCTGAATTGGTTCAACTGTCTATCAAAACAATGACGATGTATTGTATATGATCTTTTTAATCGATGCATAATATTACATAATTAATTCGAGTATGTTTTTTTTTCTTATTACTGAAATTCCAAACCAAATCATAAATATGTTAATATGGTTTCTTATAAGTTAACATCCTTAATCTACAATTAGATTTTAATCCGCAGTACACCGTGGAACAATTTTCTTAATAGAAAACAATATGTAGTTTTTTGTGTTTAAATTTAATTAATATTTAGAAATTTAGATGGATTATATTTTTTTTTGTGTTTGGTATCGGTTAGGATTGGCGTAACATCTCTCGTCAACTCGTTTACTATCAGACTAAAATATTTTGTGCATTAGTAGACCAACCCGTAGATAACTATATAATCATATTTATGTAAACTCTAAAATATTGTATTTTCTGAAAATCAAATTTGAACATGATTAACTAAAGGAAGATGTGATACGACAAGTTTGTTGGCTGGTGTGTCAGCTTCTTGCGTTTACTCATATCATATAGAAAGAGTTTGCCATATAACCAACAAATCAATTTTAATAATTTTTCTTACTATTTTCAATTATATTTTAACTTACAGAATTTAAATTCTATTTTAATTTGGAGCATGATCTGATATGTTACTATAGTATATATACTGATATACTTTTATTGTTAAAATTTAAAATCAGAAGAAGAAAAAAATCATATAATTGATTGAAAATTTATCCTCTTATAATATGTTTTCAAAGAGATTTTTTTTTTTACAAATTCTTTTCCACTTTTTTTAAATAAGGGATACTTTCATTTACACATTTGAATTTGTAAAAGAAGAATATCTTCTTATTTTGACAATAAATGATACAAAATCCATATTTGATTTTGTTATTGATTTTAGATATTGCATTACTTTACTTAAAATGAGTTTTTTTTATTACAATTATATAATTAAAATGAAAATTGTTACTATTTAGTATTTGGGTAGAAAATCAACCATCTTTATTACTTTTAGATTATTGTCTTAAAGATTAATGTATTTAAATATATTAAAGATATGAAAATTTATTTTTTAACAATTGTCATAACCTACTTAATCAAAACTTTGTATTGTAGAGCTACCAAGAGATGTATTCAACTATATATAGTCTCATTATGTTGAATCAAAAGCTGATATAAACCCTTACCAAACAAAAACACAAAATAATATAACAAACACAACAACAAAATATCAAACGAGGATGTCGCGTATGATCAAGATAGTAATGATGATGGCTTTGGTACTAATGGGTGTGAGGGCAAAAACTGTAACTGCTTCTGATAAAGGTAAGCAAATAGATATATAGTCACATTACAGGGTCAATGACGTAGTATTTCTAACCGTAACCAGACCGTTTATAAACTGTAACCGACGATAGTAATTTGATTTACCTATGATGTTTACAGGGGTCAATGATGTAGACCAACGTATCATATGTTTCAGAAACTGCGATGTTGGTTGTGGCACTGACAATGCCTGCCATGCACGTTGTAAGAAGGATTGTGGTTACCCACCTTTGAAAAGGGTCAATGATGTAGACCAACGTATCATATGTTTCAGAAACTGTGATGTTGGCTGTGGAACTGACGATGCTTGCCATGCACGTTGTAAGAAGGATTGTGGTTACCCACCATTGACAAGGGTCAATGATGTAGACCAACGTATCATATGTTTCAGAAACTGTGATGTTGGTTGTGGAACAGACAATGCTTGTCATCAACGTTGTAAGAAGGATTGCGGTTACCCACCATTGATGGATCTTCTCCATCTATGATTTTGTTGAGACTTAGGAGTCATGGGCTTGTGAAACTTATATTATGTATTTCTCTTTGTGATTTAGTTGTTTGGTTTGTTGACTTTTTACATGTTGGTGTTGAAATTGGTGTGGAAGGATTCTATATAAACATACTAAAGTCTAATGAAGAGATTATTTTATGAAATAAATCTGCTGGTACAATATTCTCACTAAGGTATGAAAATGAAATATATGCTTGTTGGATGTTTGGATCCAACAAAATAAATAAATAAAATAAATAAATAATGAGAAGAAAACTTAGTTGAAAATACATGATTTTAGTTTCTTAAACATTTAAATATGCGGTTTATACTTAAATTCCTATTTATAAACATTTAAATAGCCTCATGCCCTCCTCTTTAGAACGAGCTAACAAAGCTCATATGTGTTAATCGAGCGAGCTATTTATGATCACCAGTTGGTTGGGAATTTCTCGAAGCTCGTCTTCAAGGTATCAAAAGATCTTCTAGCCATTGCAAGCTTCTCGAAGTTGCATATCTCTTTTGAGAACTCATTAAGCCTCTATACTTACTCTTCATGTATTATTTCAGTTTCAAATTGTATGAATTTCTTCATATGAGAATTTAGTTGAATGAAAGATTTGTTTTTACTGCAATTTTAATCAGCTTTGTCATCTGTAAACATTTGTATGCATAAGAACTTTAGATATTTATGGATTTTATACGGGATTCTATTCCTTTAAAAATATATATATCAAAAACTAAAGCAAAATTGATAAGAAAATTAAATACAAAATTAATTAATATTTAAGCTTGAATAAAAATTAAATCTATACCAAACCACATATTTTAGATTATGTTTTACTTTGTAGATAATTTTTTATATTTAAAATAATTATTTGATACCTACACAATAATTAAGAATACCTATAATTACTAGAGGAAATCAAGGTACTAGAGAAAGAAATCAAATCAAATTAGTAGAAGTAACATATATACATTCAGATGTGATGAGATCATGACCAGTCCAACCAAACAACATGGAGACGAGGAGCAGCTTGAAGCTGAGACCACACATCAACCAAACTCGCCAGTTTCAGAACAGCCGTCCATTTTCAACCCGACCACTCAATGGATCAATCCAGGCACCAATTTGCACAAACCCGCCTGTTTTGGAACCACCGGCCATTCGCAACATGGCCACGAAAAACAGCTTATAGTGGAGGAAGCATTGATTGTTCCAGCGGGTCTTCTAACAAGATCAAGATCTAAGAAGTTCAACCAAGCCATCAATGGACTTCTAAAGGAGCTAAACAAGACTCAATAAGACGTGATTCAATCCTCACTCATAGTGATCACGGCTCAGAAGGTTCGGTAAAGGGTTAAATGTTACTTATGCACCCTTTTTTCCTTATCAACTTTTGTACCAATTAGTTTTTTTTTACAAGGTTTTTAATGAAGCCCACTCACAATGACTTGGCCCATTTTCCCTTCAAACTTTGCATTTATTGCTTTTATTATTTCCAAAAATCTTTGCATGAGTGTGGACTTGTGCATGCTCTTGCAAATTTTCCTTCTCTTCCCTCTTCTTCTTCATCCTCCCTCTTCTATATAAACTCATTGTAGTGCTCATTTGCAACTCATCAAACATTTTAATCAAAAACTCTCTCTTTCACTTGTTTGATCCGAAAAGTGTGTAATATATTTTCAAGTTGTTTTTCATCTTAGTTTGTAATATCTAAGTTGGATCCAAGCTCGTAGTCTAAGAGTCTTTCATCACTCTTTGAAGTACAGCTTGTTCTCCCTTCATTCCGCTGCATCCACCCATTCTCATCTTCATCGTCATTCATGGTCATTCAACCGCTTCGTTCGAGATCAATTTATTGTTCACCATCAACCACATCATTTCCAGTTCAAAATCAACAAAGTGTGTCCTTGGAGCAGCATAGATCCACTTCCAGGAGTCTGTCATGTGGTATCAGAGCCACTTTGTTATCAGGTTTTGAAGTTCCAACTCGAACTTCTGTTTTTCCAGATTTCTGTTCAGTCTTGCGAGAATTATATAAACTATTTGGCTTGTTCTAAAATTCTGAAATCAACGGCATTTGAACCAGTAAAGAATCTAGTATTTTTTAAAATGGATTTCGGAATTTTTGGAGTCGTCTGAATAGTTTACTGAAATATTTCGAACCAGTAAACAAGAAAATCTAAAAAGATATGAATACTATCAAAACGACCCCAAAACTTCCGAAATAAATTTTAAATAATATTATACTCTTTACTGGTTCAAACGCAATTAATTTCACAATTTTGGAACAAGCCAAATATTTTATAAATTTCTCGCAAAACTGAACAGAAAATCTGGAAAAACAGAATTTTTGGGTTGGAACTTCAAAACCTGATAACAAAGTTTCTGTGATACTGCATGATAGACTCATGGACGTGGATCTATGCTCCAAGGACACACTTTGTTGGTTTTGAACTGGAAATGATGTGGTTGATGGTGAACAATAGATTGATCTCGAACAAAGCGACGGAATAACGATGAACGACGATGAAGATGAGAATGAGTGGATGCAGCGGAATGAAGACGGAAAGAGTTGTACTTCCAAGAAGATGTAAGACTCTTAGACTACGAGTTTGGATCCAACTTAGTTACTACACACTAAGAAGAAAAACAAGTTGAAAAGATATTACACACTTTTTGGATCAAACAAGTGAAAGAGAGAGAGTTTTTGATTAAAATGTTTGATGAGTTGCAAATGAGAGGTACAATGAGTTTATATAGAAATGGGAGGATGAAGGAGAAGAGGGAAGAGAAGAAAAACATGCAAGAGCATGCACAAGTCCACAATCATGCAAGCTCATGCAAAGAGTCTTGGAAATAACAAAAGCAATAAATGCAAAGTTTGAAGAGAAAAGAGAAAATGGGCCAAGGCATTGTGAGTGGGCTTTAGACCACGAATTTGGCTGATAAATGGGGCTTGAAAATGTTAATTAGGTCTCATTAAAAATCTTGTCAAGAAAACCCATTAGGACACAAAACTTGACAAGGGAAATAGAGTGCATAAGCAACACTTAACCCTTTACTGAACCTCTTGAGTCGTGATCACTATGAGTGCGGATTGAACCACACGTCTTCTTGATTCTTATTTAGCTCCTTTAGAAGTCCATATTGATGGCTTGGTTGAACTTCTTAGATCGTGATCTTGTTAGAAGACCCGCTGGAATGATAAATGCTTACTCCAGTACAAGCTGTTTTTCGTGGCCAGGTTGCGAATGGCCGGTGGTTCCAAAACATGCGGATTTGTGCGGATTGGTGCATGGATTGATCCGTTGAGTGGCCGGGTTGAGAATGAACGGCTGTTCTGAAATTGGCGAGTTTGGTTGACATGTGGTCCCGGCTTCAAGCTGCTCCTCGTCTTCGTGAGGTTTGGTTGGACTGGTCATGATCTCATCAAAATGGGTGGGCAAAGAAACCATAACCCAAAAACGTAAATCAAACCAAAAATAAATAAATGGATTTGGTTTGACTATGGTTTAGTTTAAAAATCTATTCATTGAACTGAACTCCATAATTTAACTTGAATTGAACCAAGTTATATATGGTTTCATTTTTCCTTTAAATGATGAACCGTAAAACTGTAAAAATTGACTTGGAATAAATAGTGTATGGCTCTTAAGAAAGAAATCTACTCTAAAACACTTCGGTGCATTTCTACTGAGGTTAATCAAACAACATATATGCTTTATAAAAAAAATGATGCTTATAAGGACGAACAAAATGGACATGAACCCGAGGATGTGTAATTCTATTTGCACTGGACCTTGTGATACGTTATGAACAACAAGTGTTATTCAATCTTGTATTTTTTGTGATTTGAGTTTCAGTAAAGTTTTTATATGATTTTGATGGTTTTGGGTGATTTTAAGCAAGTTGATATGATTTGTTGTAAAATCCTTTCAAATATTACCTAAAACCATGAGATTTGGATTTCTGAATTTCTAACTAAAAGAATCCTCCAAAATCCTGCATAATCCTTTAAAAATTTAAAAACCAAATCCTCAAAACGTTTCCAATAACCGTAGATTTTAAACTAGATTTTCAAATCATAACTTCAATAACAATAGATTTCAGAAGATTTTTTAAAATTCATGATTCAATAACATGGAATTTGTTGGTTTCGACAAATCATTTAAAATGTTAGATTGAATATATTTTTTAGTTTCTAAAAAAAATCTATTTGATACCTAGTAAAAAAATCACCAAGAAAGGACTAAAATATTTTCTACTAATTTTGTATATATTCAAATTTCGTTTACCAATTTTCCTACTAGTAACAAGTATATTTTCTAACAACATTTTAATTTTTCTTTTCACTTCAGTCCACTTATTCAGGCACTAACTTAATCTATACAAAATCTCCTTGTTGTGTGTATTTTTAAAATATTTTGATATATTACTTTAATGTGTATATATATTAACTAGGTCTTATAATAGCTAGAAAGTATTACAAATTTAGATGATTATGTAAATACTTATTAACTTAAAATCATAGTTTCCAATAAGGAAATGTATTTAAAAAATAATAAAAATGTAGAAATTTGTTGTAGAATATATTCTGTGACACGTGTGTCCATCTAATGGTTATGATATGCATTTTACACACAACTTTATATAAAGATCAGAATATGTTGATTCTATTAGTGGATAAACCCTACAAACACAAGAAAAAATCAAAGAGAAATGTTGAGTATGACTAAGATAACAATGATGATGGTTATGATGATGGCTTTGGTACTACTAATAGGCGTGAGAGCAAAGACTATGACTGAGTCTGAGTGTAAAGGAACAGATTGCAAGTTTGATTGTAAAGGCCTGAACTGTATGTGGTCGTGTCTTCGGATACGCTTCTTCTTCTGCAACTTTGTTTTCATTACATGATTTTGATAAATATAGTTTATAACTTTTGTTGATGCTTTACAGGGGTGAATGGAATGTATTGGAACCCAAGGATGTGTTATTATGGTTGCTCTGGTCCTTGTGGTAGAGACCTCAACTGTCGCCAACGTTGTAAGAAGTGTTGTCATTGGCATACCCCTGGTGCATCTTCAACTATGAATTGAGTGATTTACAATTGTAGAACTTTTGGTTTTATCTCCCATCTTTGTTTACTTTGAGATACTTAAATCTAATAAAATTATCACTTTGTTTCATCTCTGAAACCAATTTATAAAACAACAAGATTGTATCATAAGGACTAAGAACAATAGAACATGATCAAATGTCTTATAACTCTTAGGCTCAAGGCGTTTTCCCAGATTCTAAAGTTACAGTTGAGGAATCGCCTTGCTTCTTCTTCGTTGTCGTAACTTCATCTATACCTTCGGATGGATTTACCTCGCTAAGACTTCTTTTCTTTGGTTTTGTTGTCTTTGCCGCGGTATTATCTTCCTTCGTCTCTGTCTCTTTATCCAACTCCATCGGGGTTTTTTCCACATTTGATGAAGAATAAAAAGGCGGTTCTTGCCCACTTAGATGACAAAAGACACGTTCTACTGTTTCGTTTATTTCTTTTCCTAGTCCATCCTTCTCAAGAATCAAATCCCAAACTGATTTTGATGCCTTCTCTAGCACCGGACCTCTGCCCACAAAGGTAACAAAAAACATAGTAAATACTAATTTCATCAACACATTTTATTCAAACAGCAGAACAAAATCAAGAAGATCAGTAGGTACAGAACAGAAGACAAGACAATCTGTGTATGTATGCATATATAAGTAGCTCCAAGGAATACAGAACATTACCTATCGTAAATGGCCTATAATATTCAACCAGCTCTAAGAATGTGACATAGAACTATGTAGGGAACAAACAATATCCATAAACGCTCTACGAATCTAACTCAGAACAAGACTGATACTGCACCTCCATGGAATTTAGATCATTACCGGTTTCTATTATTCAATCAGCTCTCAAATTAGGTGGTGGCTATAGCTAAGAGTATGAAACAGAATTATGCAAAAACCAATACTCTTGTATACTCTCATATTACCTATATTATTCAATCAGCCCTAAGAATGAAACGTACAACTACGGAAAACCGATATCCATGAATGCTCTAACAATGCAACGCAGAACAAAATCGATACTACATCTCCAAGGAATTTAGATCATTACCAATTATGAATGGTTTCTAGTACTCATCCACCTCTAAAGTTACGTGAGGGCTACATAGCTAAGACTAAAGAGTATGAAACAGAATTTATACAAAAGCCATATAAACTCATAAACTACTGAATAACAAACCCTTCTTCTCTTTATACACAAATACCAAACCATAATACTCAGAGCTACCAATCTAGAATCAATGTACTAAGTCAAGATATCAAAAAGGAGAAAACTTTACTCAAGTTCTTGACGAAGAGCATCAAAGAGTTCTCTTTTAGTCTGTTTCTCAGCACCAGGAGTATTAAGAACTTTACTCTCCTCCGCCATTTTAATAGTTGTACTCTTCAACTCTTCCTATTCACACAACCACAACAAAAACATCAAATCACAAACCCAAAAAGTCTCAAACTTTGAAAACACAAAATCCAAAATCTTAACAACTTACATTAGCTTTAAGCTGATTGATGATCCTTAATCGAAGAGCATCGATTGTACCATCGTTCATAAGATGTTCAAGAACGTCTTCTGGTTTAATTACCGAAGAAGACGACATTGTTCTTTACAAAACCCTAAAAGTGATTTGTTACACAATTCCAACGATTCCTTAAGCTACCGTAAGATAGATACAAAGACTCGTAGCTGAGAAAGATTGGATTTTTGACAAACCCAGAAGCTGAGATTGCGAATTCGATCGATAGAGAGTAGTAATCAGAGATTGAAAACGAGTTTCTTACGACGGGATATGTCTGATTTGGGATTTTGGTTCTCAATCTCATCTTTAAATTAATACATTCGGTTTTCCTAAACCGAATTAAACCGAAGTTTTACTCACACAAAACCGAATTAAAAAGTATATACAGTACAAGTGTTTTGTTGGATCGTCAGATCATGTATTTGGGAATACATTTGCCATTTTCTTATATTCCATTTTTTGTTGATATAAAAAAAATAATTTTCTTCAAAAATCTCATGTTAGTAAATATAAAATTAATTTCTAATTTATTTAAAATAATTCATAATGTATCGTAATGGAATTTATAATTTATCAAAGTCATATGAGAAAAATATATAAATTTTTAAATTTTTATAGAAATCTAACCATATCAAAACTCACTTAAAATAAATCAGAATATAAGATCTAATGAACCACCAAACATGATATTATAAATATTTATAATCAGATAAATACTCTTGAATGGATGTATTATAAATCATAATTTTTATCTTATACCAAACTAAAAGATTGTTATAATTTGATAAAAAAAAAGAAAAAAGATTGTTATAATAAGTTAACATTATTATATTACTCACTAAATGAATACATATAACATAACATAACATAACATTTTTTTTTTTTGTCAACCAGAAAACTACAATAAAAAACTGATCATAGTCGATTAGAAGGACCCAAACAGACTTGTTTAAAACCCTGCAGAGAGGAGCGAGCTTTGCGCGCCAAGGAATCTGCCATGTCATTCAAGCTGCGTGGAATAAGCGAGAGAGAGAAGGTTGGGAATTCTTCCCTATCAATGTTGATGTCGTCAAGGTAGACAGAGAACGCCGGCCACTCGGATGGAGAATACACCATCTTCACCAAATCTAAACAGTCCGTCAGGAACATAACATCACTGTAATTATGTCCTATCATGCATCTCATCGCCCAGACCATAGCTTCAACTTCAGAGTGAAGGGGAGATAGACTACGCCGTACATTTGAAACGCCCATCATCGAGGAAACTTCCTGCGCATGTTGACAAAACCAACCTAAACCTGCATAATCATCAGTGGACTTCCAAGAGCCATCAATAAAGCAGCGATAACCTGTATATGAGGGCGGAAGGGGATTAATGGGTCTCGGAAACTGACTCCTGGTAGGAGCAGTAATCTGTTCAGAACCCAATTAGACACCCAAGTCTTCCAGTTGAGCTCCTCTCCAGGCAGTGGCTTCCTCCATAGCTACCCGTAATATTTCCATTGGACTATCATCCTTGTTCTCATAAATTTTACCATTTCGAGCCTTCCATACATACCACAAAATCCAGGGGCATGCCAGATAAGAATCTCCTTCCGAGATCAGCCGAAAAATATAGTCCATATTAGCGTATACAGACATTGTAGGAAAGGCTAAAAGACCCACATGGACATTCGCCAGTGCCCAAACTTGTCTCGCTGGCGGACATTCGAAGAAAATATGATTAACCATTTCCATTTGTGAACCGAATCGAACACACTTATCATCACACTGTATCCCCCGTTGGTATAAATTTGACCAAACTGCTATACATCCCGTCAATAATTGCCACATCAAATGTTGGATTTTAGGTGGACACTTAATTTTCCATACCCTTGCTAGAAGGGGGTTAATATCCGGACCACAAACCGGAGGCCTATGAATCCTCGAATCAGCCATTCTAACCGTGTAGTATCCAGATTTTACCGTATATTTTCCGGTTTTCGTGAAATGCCATCCTACCGAATCTCCCACTGATGCGTTCCCAATAGGTAGAGCACTAATAACATAACATAACAAATTATAATATTTATTTGGGTTCTTACAAATTATAAATTGTTATTAATTTCAGCCACACATAAACTAATACTCCATAATCCATAAACTAATAACATGGGATTTTAAAAAAATAGTGCCAAATACTAGCCATAATCCAAACCATATGAACATTTTTGTCAAAAATCATATTTAAAATTATGTCCATTTATTTTTCAGATTTATTGTTTAGTCATTTTGATCCATCAAATTAAACTATTAATCTTAGACTGAACCAAACTAAACCGTCATATGATTCACATGACATTGATCGAGTATTTGAATATTCTTTCTCTCTAGAGTCTAGACTTGTGTTTAATAATTTAATTTGGTTAACATGATTATGCAAAAAATAATAATAATTTGGTTAGACTTAATCATCTTTAAGATTCTTGATTTGCATTCAAAATTATGTTGATTCAATATCTTTTTGAGAAATTTGGAACAGTCTTACATTATAATCCATTGGAGTTTTGCTATCAACCTAAGAAAATGATAAGAAATCATGAGGACAAAATACAAGGTACTTGAAGTAATTTTGCACAAATTGTTCACACCTATGACGAGAGAGTTTAAAAAAAAAACCTTCAAGATCTTTAAAAGCTTCCTCAATAACAACATTCAATTACTACAAAGACTTGTGATCGAGAAATATTTATTTATAAAAATAAGATTATGATCAAACTGGGAGGTAAAAGACTCTTATGGTCTTCTAGACAGTCCTCATTTATTATTTATTACATGGTCTTCCAGACTGGAGTGAATTATGTATTGGATTGTGTAGGCTATATTACAATGGTATGGATATTGGGAGGTACAAGACTCTTATGGGATAACAAAAGATTGTGATTTGATTACGATTGCAAGATATTAGAATATAATTTCTGTTTATTTGAGATCAAAATTTGAGGTAATTATTGAGACAAAATCTCTTGTTATTGAATACATAGTTCTGTCCAAAATAATTCACAGTCCATTTTAATTCAATTTACTATTTATCACAGTCATATGGCCAAAAGAAAAGAACAAATCTTTAAATTATCAAAATCCAACCTCACTCAAATAAATTTAAATTGATGATATAATAAACTCCCCAAAATTATATTATAAATCTTTGTAATTACATATATAATATTGAATGGAGGTATAAAATCATAATTTATATCTTACCAAACTTAAGTTTTGATAAGTAATATTATTATTATATTACTGAACTGAATGTATTATAATAGTTACTGATATATTACAAATTGTAAATGTTACTATTATTAGTCACATATAAATTAATAACATGTCCAAACCATGACAAAATAGTGCCAAATACTATCTATATTCCAAACCCATTATTTCAGATTTATCATCATAATTACTTATTTATATACAACTAAATACAGTAAAACCTCTATAAGTTAATAATATTGGGACCACAAAATTTTATTAATTTATAGTGATATTAATTTATCTATAAATTAATATTTATTATTTTATAGTGTAAATTCATAATTATTAATTTATAGTGGTATTTTAACTTTTAAAGTTTTTTGAAATTATGAATTGGGACAATTTTACAAAATAAGATTAGTCTTTAAGATTATACTAGGTTTTAACCCGCGGTATACCGCGGGACGATTTTTTTACTAAAATTTTTATATTTAAATTATATTTTTTTTTAGTTTTTCTTAGGGTTTAAAATTGTGTAGCTATATTTTGACTGTGAATTTTATTACTTATAACCTCGTTGGATAATTTTTTTGTAACTAATATTTTTTTAAGTTGTATTTGTATATTGTATTTAAGACTGTACAATGATATTGTGATTGTTAATTATATGATTTAACATGTGGAATACAACATGAAAAATTGTTTTGTTATATATAACCGTAATTTAATCAGCTTAATAAAATATGTGCAATATTTCAAATAATGATATGATGATGGCGTAACATCTTTCATTTAACTCATTTTATATTAGACTAACATATTTTGTGTGTAAATTCAAAATATAATCATATTTCTATAAAGTCAAACCCGTAAGAAAAAATATAATCATATTTCTATAAAGTCAAACCCGTTCAATCAAATTTATGTAAACTCAAACTCATTCAATCAAATATAATAATAGTTATAAGCATATTAGTCTTATTTATAATGTTTTTGAACCATTGTCTAAAAATTGTACCTGATGTGTGACGTTGTACATTTTTTTTTTATGATTCAGTAATATATGTCCGAAAATTATTTTTAATATACATTTGTTATATGTAATAATATAAATTTTAAAACAAATAAGATCATATAAAGATATTTGAGAGATATTCAATTTATTAGGGAGATATTTTAGGAAAAATCAAAGTAGTTGTAGATCTTTTACAAATTTAAACCTTATAATTAGTAAAATTATAGAAATGGCAAGGATTTATGATTGCAAATAATACAAAATAAAAGGTTACTTTCCAAAAGGTACTTCAAAAATGTTAATATAGATTGTATTTAAGACTGTACAATGATATTGTGATTGTTAATTATATGATTTAACATGTGGAATACAACATGAAAAATTGTTTTGTTATATATAACCGTAATTTAATCAGCTTAATAAAATATGTGCAATATTTCAAATAATGATATGATGATGGCGTAACATCTTTCATTTAACTCATTTTATATTAGACTAATATATTTTGTGTGTAAATTCAAAATATAATCATATTTCTATAAAGTCAAACCCGTTCAATCAAATTTATGTAAACTCAAACTCATTCAATCAAATATAATCATAGTTATAAGCATATTAGTCTTATTTATAATGTTTTTGAACCATGGTCTAAAAATTGTACCCGATGTGTGACGTTGTACATTTTTTTTTTATGATTCAGTAATATATGTCCGTTTTCAAAAATTCAAATTACAACATATGCGGAAAAAAAAATTATTTTTATTATACATTTGTTATATGTAATAATATAAATTTTAAAACAAATAAGATCATATAAAGATATTTGAGAGATATTCAATTTATTAGGGAGATATTTTAGGAAAAATCAAAGTAGTTGTAGATCTTTTACAAATTTAAACCTTATAATTAGTAAAATTATAGAAATGGCAAGGGTTTATGATTGCAAATAATACAAAATAAAAGGTTACTTTCCAAAAGGTACTTCAAAAATGTTAATATAGATTGTATTTAAGACTGTACAATGATATTGTGATTGTTAATTATATGATTTAACATGTGGAATACAACATGAAAAATTGTTTTGTTATATATAACCGTAATTTAATCAGCTTAATAAAATATGTGCAATATTTCAAATAATGATATGATGATGGCGTAACATCTTTCATTTAACTCATTTTATATTAGACTAATATATTTTGTGTGTAAATTCAAAATATAATCATATTTCTATAAAGTCAAACCTGTTCAATCAAATTTATGTAAACTCAAACTCATTCAATCAAATATAATCATAGTTATAAGCATATTAGTCTTATTTATAATGTTTTTGAACCATGGTCTAAAAATTGTACCCGATGTGTGACGTTGTACATTTTTTTTTTTATGATTCAGTAATATATGTCCGTTTTCAAAAATTCAAATTACAACATATGCGGAAAAAAAAATTATTTTTAATATACATTTGTTATATGTAATAATATAAATTTTAAAACAAATAAGATCATATAAAGATATTTGAGAGATATTCAATTTATTAGGGAGATATTTTAGGAAAAATCAAAGTAGTTGTAGATCTTTTACAAATTTAAACCTTATAATTAGTAAAATTATAGAAATGGCAAGGATTTATGATTGCAAATAATACAAAATAAAAGGTTACTTTCCAAAAGGTACTTCAAAAATGTTAATATAGATAAATTTTTATAGTTTAGAATTGAATTCTATATTTATATAAAACATAACAATGAATTAAAAATATTATAAATAAATTCACTTCTATACACAGTACATCCATAAATTCAAATTTATGATTAATACCTCAGCTGTAATCTTTTAACATCCTATAAAACAAACAAAAAATGAATATGATGCATATTTATAAATAGAAAAAATTAAAAAAAAAATGGTTATTTTATGATGTTATAGAATATTATTATAAGATTGTAGTTTAAAAATATAATATAAATTTTTTTAGATATGAGGTCTAGGAGAAATTCATTTTTAGGAAAAAAAAAAACTAAAAGCATATTTCAACATAGTTACGTATATGATATATATGTATATGTAGTGATTATTAATTTATGATTTAATTGGGACTATGTTAACATAGGGAATTCAAAAAAACTTATTGTCTTATTATTTTATCGAATTTGGTTAATTTTTACACTGGCCCGACTTAGGACCAGACAAATTTATTAATTTATAGTGTTTATTAATTTATAGAGTATTTAATTTATAGAGGTTTTACTGTACAATAGCCATTCATGATTCATCAAATTAAACCATTAAACCACTATTTTCAATCTAAACCGGAATAAACCATCATATTATTCACATGACTTCTCGTCTTTGAATATTCTTTGCCTCTGACTTTGGGTTTCCTGAAACCTTCCTCACACTCAAAATAATTTTGTATTTCTTAAACAATAAATTTGTGAAATTGGTGTTTTAAGTGTTACGAATTTGTGGATTTTTGAATCTATTTGGATTCTCAAAAGCCATGGACTTCCGAAGTAGAAGGATTCAGTTTCTCCTCTTTGCTATTGGATTACTCGCTCTTAGTATGACAGGTACTTAGATTTTATTTATCTTGTTTCCGCTAAAGTTTCGATCTTTGACCATAAATTTCGTGTCTTTGGATGATTTTATATAAATTCAAATCATGGGTTTTGGATTTTTAATTTAGGGTAGTTGTAAAGGTAACGCCTTTTCAGGAACTGAGATCTCGATTTGGTTCTTATACTCTCTCTTTGATCTGATTGGTTGGAACAGTGAAGTTTGATTCATTATCTGGTTAATATGGTTATGGAAGATTTGGACTCTAATTATGAGATTAGTGACTAGAATTAAAGATTATGTATTTGACATTTCAATACTTTCATATCTTGATTGATGAACTTAGTTGTGGTCAGAACTTGTTTGTGTTCAAAATTTCATATTTTTCCTTTTACTTTCTCTTTGGATCCTCTGTGTTGTTCACTCATGCTGGTCATATAGATATTGCAGGATCATAAAAGTTTCGATTTTTAGCATATGATGTTCTGTTTTTAAACAGCAATTTGAGCTATGTCTCATACCAGGCTCTAAGAGTAGTGAACTTGCTTGTAAAAGAGTCACTTTAGCTTTCTCTTCTCGTTTAGTTGCTGTGGTTTTTGGATTTTTTTATGTTTAAGACACATTTTGTTTACATAATTGTGGTTTTGATTTGTCTTTGGTATGGTTTATGGCTAAGCTTTGTTACTTGTGGGTTGTGTTTGTTTAAGTTGGTTATTTGATAGACATGTGATGTTTGAATATCTTTTATGTTGTTTTGGGTATGGTGAACAGCTGAGAAATGTCGGGAACTTGTTGGACAAGAAGCTGCATCAAAGAGTGGAGAGTTTACATTTTTGAACTGCTTTGATATGAGTTCAGGAACTTTATCTTGTGCGGTTAAAGAAGGTGTGAAGCTTTATTTCTACAATATAAGATCTATTCACGTCGAGAAAGCCCGGAACATAGCAATTGAGAAAGCCTTGCATGAGACATTGGCAAGTGGCTTGCCTCCTAATGAAGCAGCCAAAGAGGTGCAGAGAGCGGGTGAAAAAGCGGCTAAAATTGCCACCAGGCAAGCGAAACGGATCATAGGACCAATAGTAGCAGCCGGGTGGGATTTCTTTGAAGCGCTTTACTTTGGAGGTACTTTAACTGAAGGGTTCTTGCGCGGTTCTGGAACTATGGTTGGTGCTTACTCAGGAGGGTATGTGGGTGAGCAAAGATTTGGTAGATTTGGTTATCTTGTGGGAAGTACATTGGGGAATTGGGTTGGCGGACGGGTCGGACTGATGGTTTATGATGTTGTGAATGGGGTAAACTTCGTCTATGTGACTTATCAATCTGGAGAAGCTTATGAGAACCAGTCTACTACATATGAAACTTCTGAGGACCAGTCTACTACATATGAAACTTCCGAGGATCAGTCTACTACATATGAAACTTCTGTGGACCAGTCTACTACATATGAAACTCCAAGTTATGAGCTCTAGATGCTGCCAATGTTGGATTGTGGATTGAAAATGACCTAAGAAACTTTTGAAGACAAGTCGAAAGGAATTGGAAGATTTTGGAATATTTATTTCCTATACATTTGACATAGTTGTATAGACTAAAAAGTGTTTCCACTGGATCAATTTGTTATGGATGTTCAAAATACTTAAGTTACACTTGATTCATTGTGCAAATTGGTTGTTTCAAATTAGTTTTTATGTTGGCTTTTTATGAATGTTGAAATGAAGTCATATCATTGTTACAACGCATAAGGCCAAGGCCATAAGACTAGGACAATATAAAGCGACAACTCCAGGACAAATTGCAGCATTTTAGAGACAACTAAGTCCAACAAAAAGCCAAGACCGAGTCCGAGCCGAGGCATCAAGTTACACAATTGCATGGCTGCACAACTTGAGTAGGATTTGAACATCATGTTGATACAGTGCCGGTCCGACATATTTTGATGCCCTAAGCAAACTTTAAAAACAGTTCTTTCAGTTTCATACATTATAAAAACTCATAAACAATAGTAATTACTAATTAATATGTACATTAAACCTGCGTACAGTATAACGTTTCCAAAAATAGTTGGAAAGTCCAACATTTTTATTTTAAAAAAATCGCATTAAATCAGAATTTTACTATTAAAACAATAATTAATCTATAGTATTATTTAAGCGAGCCTATCAAGTTGTTTTGGTTATCTTCTCTAATCAAGAGAATAAATGAATGATCTGCCACAAAATTATACAGTATATAAAATAATTATTATTGTACAAAGTGCAATTTTAGTCACCAAGATCAAACAAAAAAACATATTCAGTAAAAATAGTATTGTTCTATTATTTTCTTAAAAAGTATAAATAAATCTTAGTCATGTTAAACAATTACGTGAGCGAATTCCCCATCAACCAAAGAAGGCATAAGAGGTTAATAGCTACATTGTTGTAAATCCTTCTTTTACTGAAATGACATCGTCAAATCAAAAACGGTTTTGTTGTGCAATCAATGTTCAAGAAAATGCTAGTTACTATGTGTGTGAGAACCTATATTTTAGCGCATAAACTGTATAGTTGGAGCCAAGGTGATTTAAGCGGATTAGGAATTTACAATATAAATATTATAAATATGATATTATTAATAAAATTGTGTATACATATACATTAGGAAACATAAAATATTAAGTTGTAACAAAAATAAAATAGAATAAAAAATTATTTCACTCATATTTAATAATGTATATATAATTATAATTACATATACGAAGGTAAAACTTATAAATCTAAGTATATGTATATGAAAATTGAAAAATATATGTTGAGACAAGAATTATGCAACGTAGGCAGTTGAAGCCTATGTATAGGTGTCTGAGTATCTTATATTGGATGAATTTAGTTATATCTTTGGAAAACATATCTCGTTAATGCTTTTGATGGTTTGGTTTTTATCGATGAGAAGGGTTTTATGTTTAGCACATAAGTTATTTGAGTAATTCTTTTTATTTGTTCACAAATTTGAGGTTTTTACATTTTAGTTATGTTGTCTTTTACACTCATCTATTGTGGCATTTTTGATATGTTTTTATAATGTTCATTTCATATTTGTTATATATCTCTTAATAAAAAGTAAAATAAAATATTCTAAAATACCACGAAAGAAAAAAAATACAAATGTTAGGTTTTCAATACTACTACAATTTTTTTTCCCCAAATATATCACTACAAACTATTTAAACTAAATATATCAAAATTTATAGTGCATTGACATTGGAACCAGTCCTTTGAAAGCCGCTGAAGCCTAAAACATGAAATGGATGTTAAAATTTGAAAATTCTGAATCACTAACTTCAACTTTGCGACTTGAAATGTGATTATCTTCCTAGGGACGAGCTCAAAAATCTTGTAGCTTCGATTTTATATAATATATATGTTGTTCAATATATAATTTTTATTTACATTTATCATATGTTGTCTTTGTTATTTTGTTATTAATTATTTTTATTAGAAATTCATTTGTAATAAATTTTTAAAACTTCAGAATTATTTTTATTTATTTATTTTGATAACAAAATTCGTATTAAGAATTCTTTTCATATATATTCATTTTATCATTTTAATATTAAAAATGATAACTTAAAAATATATATTTTGTTATTTCCGATTGCTTTAATAGAATTTAATAAAGTATTTTGATTGTTTTAATATAATTTATTTTGGAAACAAAAATTTATATACTGTATAAAAAAATATATAAGATGATGAACTATGGTTTGTATATCTAGCCATTGATTTAAAGGGAAAAACTTAAAGTGTCATCTATTTTTTTTCAAAAGACACCTTTATTAACTCGATAAATTATCATACAAATCGTTTCACAAAAGAAAAATATTGGGTTCACCTCTTTTTATTTACCTTCTTTATTTTATCCAATCAGAATCTGCCACTTGATAAATTGGGATGGTAAAAGCAAATATAGTAAAATATAAACCGTATAAAATTAATAGTATACCATTGAATTTTTATTTTACAGGACTATATGTTAGTTATTGTTTATTAAAGATTGTATAGGGTATAGTTTTTTACAAATTAAACGATGTTATATGCCGGTTTGGGTTTATAAAATAAGATTATTTTTAAATTTTATAAATAAAAACAAAGTTATGTATGTCGGTTTTTTTTTTTGTAAGATTAGGTTTTAAATGTTAAAATTAATTAGGTTATATGTAAGTATGGGTTTAGAAATAAAGAGTAGGGTACTGATTTTAGAATTAAAACAGAACCCAAAAATATCACAAAAGTCAAATTAAAACTTTTAACATTCAAAACTAAAACCTAAAACCTAAAAACTAAACACTACTCCTTAAAAATATATTAGTCAACCCAAACCTAAAACATAAATTTTACATCTTCAATTTTTTTTTTTTTTGTTTATGTTACTTAAAAAAAAAAATTTGTGGTATTTTTGGAAACATTAAAGAATTGTTAGTTTTAATAAATCAAAATTTTTTTGTTATCATTAGAAAATAAAATATAATATTTTAAGGATTCTCTAATCAAAAGTAGCATAAAATTTATACACCATTCACTATTCAAAAGTGAACAATATAATACCAAATCTAAGGTAAAAACTATCATGGTATAGGTTAATTTGGATTAATTTAAAGGGATTGTTAAAAATTGATACTCAAAAGATTTGAAAACAAAAAGTAAAGGAGTGATAATTTTAAAATTAGATCTCTCTCCTCACCCTTAACGAAATTACATTTTTACCCCTAATTCGATTTAACAAAAAAAAAACTGATATTTGCTAAAATAGCGTATCATGTAAATCGTATGTTACCGCTATACATTATAAGTTATTTGATAACTTCATAGTTATATAGTTAAATTATTTATAGTTATTCATATGTTAGCGCTATTAACTATGTAAATCATATGTTACCGCTATACATTATAAATTATTTGATAACCTCATAGGTATATAGTTAAATTATTTATTATATAATTGATATCAACTAACTTATATATTAACATGTTAATTTATTATGATATTTCATCTGTTATGTTAACTTATACATAAGAAACATATAAATGATATGTAAAAATTGTTCTAAAATTTTATGGATATCTATTTTGTTATGTGCTAAAATATTTGTTATCTATCTTAGAGGTAGCTTTGTCCAATTTAAGTAGCCAAGAGAGAGAACTAATTAAAAAAAATAGCATGTATAGATTCTTAATTTTTCTTTTATTTGAGTATACCCATTATAGTTTCCCTAATTTAAAACTGTATCTATCCGAATATTGCAAATCACTATACCACGATACGTTCGTCTAGAGAAAGCCACTACTTTTAACTTACCAATTAGAGTGGTTCAGGACATACCTGAGAGCTTCATCTCTTTATCTACAAAGACTTAATGCGAAAAGGCAAAAGACAAAAACACTATTTACATTATATGTTTTCAATATGACTTTGGGGCATTAGACATTTTGTTTCAGTTGATCTTGAGAGGTCAGTAACATTTGATTATATAAGAAAACAAAGTGAAATAGATTTATCAATGTCGAGTAGTCGCGTCAACCTGGTTGATGCTAAAAGTTAGCAGCCATACTTTGTCATCTTTGTAAAAACTTGTTTGTTTCGTCATTTTCCATTAAGACCATATACTATATAGTATTAAGACAAGACCCAAAGCTCTTTATTGTCACACCAAGATTCAGAGGCCCAATGAAGAGACTACACGTGCCATTGATGAACATGCTTCATCCTTCAACGAGCTCGTGTGAGTCCATCGCTAACGCGTGGCTTGGTCGTGCTCGTGCATAGCTAAGGTTACTTTACATGCACTTTGAGTTAACAATGCATATTTAATGTTTATGCATGTGTTATCTTAACTACATACTTGATGATTGTGTCGTGCCATATCTTTAATGCTAAATGTTTTACTTTCAAGATCATCAAGACACTATGTAGTCTGTGTTTAGTATAGGTTTGATACTTATTAACTTATTCAAGAGACACTAATTAGTAATTATGTTGAATATGCGTATTATCCCTCTAAACTCGAAAACACGAAAACTTAAAATATTTGATCTGAACATGAACATGAACACCTACCCTAAGTTAGATTCTTAGTAACTTTTATGGAGATCTTTAATTTTGCTTTACTTATAAAGCGACACTAATTAGTATTTAGGTTGAATATGCGTATTATATCTCTAAATTCGAAAACACAAAAACTTAAAATATTTGATCTGAACATGAAAACCTACCCTAAGTTAGATTCTTAGTAACTATTATGGAGATCTTTAATTTTGTTTTTCCTTATAAAGCGACACTAATTAGTATTTAGATTGAACAGAAAGTGTTTTTATTTAGCATAAACATAAACTTAATTAGAGTTCAATACATGTGGTTTTGGACAATCATACAACGAAAACGAAGTGATAATGTGATATGTCTCACTTGAATAAGATAGATACGAGGCACAGATACCTCTACATCCGAAGTGATAGGTGTGATCAGCAAAGATATAGAACCACCCGTGTAACGACACGACATAAATATTGCTTGATATTACTTTTTCTGTTCTTTTCTAGGTTGTCTTTTTTCTTGTTAAATGTTTTTATAGGTTGTTTTATAAGAGTTTTTTTTTTATCATACAAAATATAAATTATATATATACTATGTATTATTGTTTATACA